TTAAAATAGTGCTCAATATATCAATTGTAGAGTAGTGTAGAAATGCCACTGTTAAAATAGTACTCAATACATCAATTGTAGAGCAATATAGAAATATCACTGTTAAAATAGTGCTCAATACATCAATAGTAGAGCGATATAGAAATACCACTGTTAAAATAGTACTCAATACATCAATTGTAGAGTGATATAGAAATACCACTGTTAAAATAGTACTCAATACATCAATTGTAGAGTGATATAGAAATGCCACTGTTAAAATAGTACTCAATACATCAATTGTAGAGCAATATAGAAATATCACTGTTAAAATAGTGCTCAATACATCAATAGTAGAGCGATATAGAAATACCACTGTTAAAATAGTGTTCAATACATCAATTGTAGAGTGATATAGAAATGCCACTGTTAAAATAGTGCTCAATACATCAATTATAGAGTGATATAGAAATACCACTGTTAAAATAGTACTCAATGCTTCAATTGTAGAGCAATATAGAAATACCACTGTTAAAATAGTACTCAATATATCAATTGTAGAGAGATATAGAAATATCACTGTTAAAATAGTACTCAATACATCAATTATAGAGAGATATAGAAATACCACTGTTAAAATAGTGCTTAATACATCAATTGTAGAGTAATAAAGAAATACAACTGTTAAAATAGTACTCAATATATCAATTGTAGAGAGATATAGAAATACCACTGTTAAAATAGTACTCAATACATCAATTGTAGAGTAATGTAGAAATACTACTGTTAAAATAGTGCTCAATACATCAATTGTAGAGCGATATAGAAATACCACTGTTAAAATAGTACTCAATACATCAATTGTAGAGTGATATAGAAATACCACTGTTAAAATAGTGCTCAATACATCAATTGTAGAGCAATATAGAAATATCACTGTTAAAATAGTGCTCAATACATCAATTGTAGAGCAATATAGAAATACCACTGTTAAAATAGTGCTCAATATATCAATTGTAGAGCGATATAGAAATACCACTGTTAAAATAGTGCTCAATACATCAATTGTAGAGTGATATAGAAATACCACTGTTAAAATAGTGCTCAATACATCAATTGTAGAGTGATATAGAAATATCACTGTTAAAATAGTGCTCAATATATCAATTATAGAGCAATATAGAAATACCACTGTTAAAATAGTGATCAATACATCAATTGTAGAGTGATATAGAAATATTAAAACAAATCCTAAAAAAAACATGTTGTTACACTCAGCGTTTCACACTATGCGATTCTCTGACGTCAGAAGACATAAAAGTTCTGACATGAAGTTGTTAAGTAACAACATAATTTAAGTTCTGTTTTAATATTTCTACATGGTTAATAACATAAACTAGAGTGGTTAAATAATAACAGAAATAACCTTCACTGTTTTTGGGACAGTAATAATATGTATTTAAAAACCAACAGCTATAATTTTATTTTATTTCATACAAAATATACAATACAGATATAACAATGCTTTTAAGGGATTGTTAAAAGGTTTTCAAAATTTTTATGTGTATCAGGGACACTAAGTGTTTTATGACGTCACTAATCCCAATATAATAATAATGCCTTTATGATAAGTGACGTCATCAAACACTTAGTTTTAGTGAAATTGCAGGAAACCACAGACGTCTGATTGAAAATTGGTATGGTGTAAATTGATGCTATCAGTGTCCCCTGTAAGCATACAAAATTTAGAAAACCTCTTTACAATCTCTTTTAAGTCATTCTCCATGTGACAACAAAAAGAGTCTTTCACACACAATTCACACTGAAGATGGGTGAGTTCAGTTTAGGCCCGGAGCTACAGGTGGGCATAGGGGGACAATGACCTCACAAAAAAATGGATTGCCCCCCAAAAAATTCTGCCTGCCGACTAATATTGTTACCGTAACTAAATACCTCACTCTATTGCCCCTCCAGATATAATGCTTGCCCCTCCTAACAATCAAGTCTGGCTATGGGCCTGGTCCAATTCTTCTTTTTCACTAGCACTATAGTTCTCCAATCTGGTCCATCTATTTAATTAATGGCATAATAATATATCAGGTACGGTAGTCATAACCCTAACACGATTTTATCAATGGAATTGTCTTGCTGGTACAAGCACATGTCTAATATTCTAATCAGTGTCTCAGATAGTAGTCTATAACAGTTGAAAATGCAGCGAACCCAGCAGCACTAATTAATCCTGCTTTAACTCCAGCTGGAAAATAAACAGAATCAAGGATGTTGATTAGAGTGTGTTACTGCCAGTCATGTATGACTGGAGGTTCCGAATGTCTTGGATCCCTCAGACAAGATTTTCATTTCAAATTAGAAAGTTTTTGTAGATTCATATCACAGTGGCATTAGCCAACTCTTTTTCGATTTCAACTGACAAGGGATCTGTGCACAGCCTGTAGCATGTGGGGCCTAGGTTTATTGTCCCATTTGAAAACGACTAGACGCTTTTGCCATATCAGCGAATCAAATTTTAACTTGATAAGCCAAAACTGAAATTTGGTGTGATGAATTGTTAATATTTCAATCTAAATTGAACTCTAAAACCAAGCCGTGTTTGCTGTGAAACTGATTGGTGGCTTGGGGCTGGCAGTTATTTTTATCAAATAAAGAAGTTGATACCTACCTCGAACACCAAGAACTCCTCCTACAATTGCACCTGATAGTGTTCCATTTAATAAATCAGATTTACCACGATGCTGAAAACATTAATAACACAGGAAACTTTAAAGGGACAGATTCGCCATTTTTTCGGTAGTTTATTTGAGTCTTTGCTTTATCGCGATTAGTGACATCATGAAACTCTATATTATAATTGAGGTCTGATTGAAAATTGGAATGGTGCAAATTGATGCTATCAGTGTTCCAGACAGACCTACACATTATTTTTTTTTTACATATCTTTGATTTGGGTCTTGAACTTATGCTTTATCGCGATTAGTGATGTCATGAAACACCTAGTTTTAGTGGAATTGCAGGATCCACAGACATCTGATTGAATATTGGAAAGGTGCTAATTGATGCTATCAGTGTACCCGATACACATACAAATTTGAATCCTCTTTAAAGGGATAATGCTTTTGGTATATTTACTCAACCAAGCGATTAAATTCAGCTGTTCGTTCATCTTTTCAATATCAAAATGTCAAATAACCATGGATAATGGTTTCTATCAACTGGTTCAGCAAATATTTAGACAAGTATTTATCCCTTTCAAATTATAGACTTGAGAATAAGTTTTACTTGTCAAACTTCAGTAGAGATGCAGACTGAAAATAGGTCAGTTGTCTCAAGATCACATAGCATGAAACAACATGATTAAAGTTAGAACTCTTTTAATATTTTCTCTTCCAAATAGTAATAATTTGGTCTCCAGTAACAAACGTTAATTTTGTCAAAATACAAACCTACCGATTCTAGACAACATTCAGTTCCAGCAAACATGGCTCCAATTATTGCAAAGTTTTTACCATAGGAGAGCGACCTGGCCTTCATTTCTCTGGCTGTAGCTTTCAGTGTTAATGGTTCTGGGGAGATGGTGGAGGCTGGATCAATACTGGCTGTAAACAGACCAAACACTCCACCCAGAGCAAACCCTAGATACATAAAAGAAATGGAGTTACACAATCTGAAGACAATTTCAGAATGAATGTTTATAATTGATTGGATCTGAATCTACCTGATAAGGAATATAGAAGACAGAAGAAAAACTCGCTAACTCGAATTTTAAGTTAAATCTCGTGTGTGTCCCTGCTTCCACAACAAGATTATCGCCTTGCTGACAGTATTTATATCAAACCAGTTTTATATTTGTCACAAATTGCTTTATCGTCTGCAAGACAGAGCGTCATCATCAAATCAGATTAATTTTCCTTCCAATGCCAATGGCATGATCGGCAGTTGATTGGACTCAAGTGAGATTTTTTGTCTCCTATTGAGCCAGCAGACAGTTGGTGAATGAAACTCTTCTTGAAAAGACTCCAGTCGGCAGTAAAATTCTAGACAGACATCAGTGTGCAATGAGGGTAACTTTTAGAAAATAATGGCATTACCTACAACTCTATTATGCCTACACCATAATCCCACTATCCATGTTTTTGATTGTCTCAGAGCATAGCTTACCTATAACACAACTGGTTGTAGCCTTAAATATGCAACTTTCAAACAAACTCTGTACCATCAATTCCTCTCGAGGTTTGGGTGGGAGAGGGGTGGCAAAACCGCGATTGCGATTCTTTCGTTCCCCTATAATGTGATCAATAATAAATGAAAAGCTCTGTACATCTTCAGGCCTGAGTTTCTGCGTATTTGTGCTATCACTTGCTTGATTTTGGCCCTGAGTGGGGGCCGCCATGTTGAATTGGGTGTAGGGCAACTCGGACTACAGGCAACTCGGACTACTTTTTGGAAACTAGGACTACTTAATTTTGAAACTCAGCCAAATGTTAAAGACCACTAAGACAACTTTTTTGAGACTCAGCCAAATGTCAGACTACTATTTTTGAAACTAAGACAACCCTGACCACTATTCAATGACAATTCGGACCACTATTTTTGAAGCTGCAGTGTATGTAAAGGGAAGTAACTCAAACTTTGTTCAGACTACATCTAATTCAATGTATTCCACATTGACAGTTTTCGCTTTAGTAAATGAATGCAGAGCTTAGATTTTAATCCTTAATTTAAATATTCTAACCAATACTGCCAATGATCTGGACTGAAAAATATTCATTGAGAAGGTTCGAAAATGATCATTTTCATTAGCCCGCAGTTCAGCCAATCCATATCAAGCCCTCTCATATTTTGTTATAGAAATTGACAATGCTCCAAAAGAATATAAGAACAACACTATAAATTTAATGATTGTATTTAATTTTTGATCCAAAGGTATTCATATAAAATAACACACTTTAAAACTTTCTGCCTTGTTTGATGTTCGAACTTTGAACTCAGTTCTTAATGAAGACTTAACAAACAATATTACAACATAGATAGTTTAAAGTGATTGTAAAAAGGTTTTCTAAAATTTTGATGTGTATTGATAGGATCAATTTGCACCATTCCAATTTTCAATCAGACGTCTGTGGCTCCTGCAATTCCACTAAAACTACGCGTTTGATGACATCACTAATGGCTAAAGGCCTTCTGTGATAAAGCATATTTCGCAATTAATGACGTCATCAAACACTTAGCTTTTGTGGAATTGCAGGAACTACAGACGTCTGATTGAAAATTGGAATGGTGCAATCTGATGCTATCAGTGTCCACAATACACATAAAAAAATTTAAAAAGCCTCTTTACAATCCCTTTAAAATCACATTTATCCGATTTTATTTTCAAAATCTTGGTCTATTAGATACAGTTACAACACAAATTATTCTTTAGAGAGATCAAACTTCAAAATAACAGAAATTGTGTTAAAATTCTGTCTCTTTTTGTACACAAATTTATCAATTTATGTTTTATAAAGAGGGAGCAATCCTTGTTTTTAAGACCTTAACTAGGTGTAAAATAAGGTTCATGATTTTCTAATTTCCTTTACCATTCATTTCACTTCATACGACTTTAAGTATTTCACAAATCAACCGGTGGCTGAAAAGTTCATAGCCTGACTCTGATGGAGAACTCACATCTGTTTTTTCTTCTTTTAACATATATCATATTAATTAATAAATAACGTAAACAGCAGTTTATCACAAACAAATCTAATCTAAAACTAATTCTACGTTCTGGCCAAATTTTGGAAAACTTAATTCAGTTATATACAAAATATTCCCAAAGCTTTATATTAAACAATCTGATCACAGTACTTTCTAAAATCAATGACGTTTGAGAAAAAGGCCAAATCTAAAAACATAAAAACATAAATGCAATTTAATTGCAGTACTCACATAAAACACAAATAATTTCACAGATTACATTTATAGTCGAGCAAACTTTTTTAAAACCAAAAAGAGACCAAACTTTCTTTCGATATTTTTATCTTTTATTTTTCATTAGCCACTTCAGTAAGGGTCTATAAACGGCCTTCTTGATCATTTGTCTACTTGATGACACTGCCAGCCAATCAAATTCCTGCCAATGCCTGGATTTTTTGACTCAAACAAAAGGTGCATTCAGTGTCCAATGCGTCTTAGATTACATTTTTGGATAGCGTCACAAAATCCCATAACTAGATATTCTACGATGTCATCATCACATGTTGTCTTCAACTATCTAAAATAGGACAACAAGTGCAGCATGATCTCAATCACATACCTTCTAACATAAATAATTTGTATAGAAACCTAAAAGTCATGACAAATTTGGCTTTTGTCATGGTAAAAACAAAATTTGGATCAAGTTCAACTGGGATTAAAAGTGACATTAAAGGGCTGGCCCAGTCTGTGTCTGCCTAGTTTCATCTGATCCTGGTTCTCGCAATTTTGGTTGACAAAGTGACATGGAATGCTGAGAATTATATTCTTTTTCAGGAAACAGTCTCTGTACCAGAACTTATTTAGTGGCATTTCTATAGAGGGGCTAAGCTTTGGCTCTCCCATTTTCAAATTTTCATCATTTGACATACTTAAAGAGTGACCTGTGGTCCCTCTGGAAAATTTTTGATCCTTGCTTTGCCTCCCTTGCCTAATGTTTCCTAGAAACGCCTCTGAACATGGACTGTTTTCCTTCTTTTTTTTTTTAAATTTGTACCCCATAAAAATCACAGTAAAATATAAATAATGCTTCTTTCATTTCCAAAAGATACACGATAACATAGCCTAAAAATACAACAATAACATAAAATCAAGCCTATTTATATTTATACTCAGAGCTGTGAGATTCAGCCCAGTTTTTGGAACGATGAGGCAGTGGCTCGAGAGCAAGGGACGGAATTTCAGGTGTTTTGGAGCGAGGGTGTTGAACACGTCTGGGCTGTTTCTGAAGAACTTGAAGAACCTTGGCATCAGGATTGCCAGGAATGGGTGGTAAAATCGAGGGTCTGGCAACCATTTTCACATCTTTTTCAAATTGTTGGACGGAGGGTAAAAATGCTGTGATATCTGGAGAACTAGAACGATTGGATCCTGAACTGCGATTGGATCCACCACTACGACTGGCACCTAATCTCATTTGTGGCACTTCAGCACTATTTAATAAATTTCTCTTGATATTGGGCATACGACGAGGTTTTGAGATAATTTCTTTCGGTGGCGCTGGAACTTGGGAACTGTCTATTCTACGTATATCACTATTTTCCAAGTCTTTTTGCTGCATTTTACTTTGATGTAATTTGGACGTGAGATAGGCCACAGTACACGATTTCGTTTCCACATCTGCTTTCAATTTATTCACAATTTCTGCCTGTTTCCGAGACTCGTCCAAATATTTCTTTTTATACACTTTCGCCGTCTGTTCCAATTCCTTGATTTTTTCATCTTTAGAAACAAGTTGAGAGTCTTTCTGCTTCAACAATAAAACTTTTTCATCCAATTCTTTCTTTAATTCTTGATATTTATTATTTGTGTCTTCTGAAAAACAAAACAAAAAACCTTTTTTCAGAAGTTAACTTCTTCATTTTGCTCTCAAAATGTTAAATGGTTAGCTTTTTCATTGTTTATCAAGACCAGCTTCCTTCCTAAAAAAAGAGATCCCAGAAGATCTTGGAGCTAAAATGTGACTTATTGAAGCAGAATTTTCAAAAACTATCAGACATGATAGAAAATGATATATTTAAGAAAGAGAGAAGGAATACCTGAATCTTCAATGTTTAAACCATGCATGGTTAACTGAAACGTCAGATCTGAAACATGAATATAATATATTTATTACTAACACAATGTCTTACACTTTCCTTTTTCTAGTGATTGCATGGGGACATGTGCCTTATAAAAGTAAAGGACAATCAAAAAAATAAAAAATATATCTTTTATGGATGACATAGAACAACATTATCAAATCTTTCAAATTAGGTCTTTCTGTTTTTTCAATTGCAAATAAAGAAAAGCTCACTATTTTCACTATTATTTAACTTAGTTCAGCTGAGAATTTTTATTAATTTGCATAATTACATACTGAAAAAACCCTCAAAAATCTAAAAAATTCCCTAAATAAAACATTACCTGTGCATTTCTTCTGTAACTGGTTAATTTCAAGATGTAAAGCCTTTAAGGTATCAGCATGCTCTTGTTGTATAAACAATATCGAACTTTCTAAATTTCTTTTGTGAATGGCAGCCTGACTAGTCATTTTTATTGATTCACTCGATCAGTCTAAAATACAATAAAACATCCCTTATTAACATTTTATAATCACATCTCTGATTAACATTTAATGACTTCAAGATAATTAAAATACAGCCTGTCAGTGTCAGTGGCATGCAAACTCTCATCAAGTCAATTCAATAGCAAACTTGGCTATCAATTTTTAATGACCCGACATTTCAAAGAACACAAGATATACTGATACTCGTAGTTGCACGTAAAAAAACTTAACTGAAGATGAAACGTGCTAAAAGAAATTAGATCTATCAAAATGTTAATTTCTGTAAGCTTACCAACTATTCAAATCAGACTTACAAAGTATCAAGCAATCGATTGCACCAACTATCATTAAAATAAAATTCTAAATAATAAATAATAACTGCAAGAGACAGGAAATTACTGATGCTGATAAGATAAAGAGAGGAAATTATTCTGATTTTATCAACTTATTTAGTTTCTAAAAGAATACTATCTTTCAGATAATTACTCAACAGTTTCCAATACACTTCTTAACATTGAAATCTAGCTTTATATTTGTCTACAATGAAAGTTGAATGAAGTAAATAAGTCTATGTCAGGGTTTGATAATGGAAACAGAGAAAGCTAATACTACGGTCCTTACAATATTTTCTTATTGTACACTAAATAACATTCTTTTGACACAGGCTGAAATATAGGTCAGTTGCCTGAAAATCCCATAGTGTGAAACTCTGAGTAACACAATGTTTTGTTAGGTTCTGTTTTAATATTTCAAATTCTTTTTTGATATCAAAATGAAGTTTTAGATGACAGTATCCCTTTAATTACAATATCTGTATCCTGAATAGACACCATTAAAATTTAATGAATTTTATTGATCAAGTTAATTAAGCCTAATTGAGTCATCTTCCTTGATTTCCTTGATATCATTTTAAATCAATATTCACTGAGGTGAAAAGTTTACGAATACCGTTTTATACATAATTGGTTTCCTATTTGACAGAACGCTGGTTGTTCCGTTTCTACAAAATTCTTGCAAAAATTTGTCAAATGATGGGCAAGTGTGGAATTTTTCTAGGAAATAATCTTCGCTTCCAAGCCTACCAATTTCATCATTTTTTAAAAATGAAAAATGATCATTGGCCTGGTCATCTGTCAAGTAGACACTTTCTTGTCCAAGAAAATAAATTTATGGGGACAGAGCTTAGAAGGTTTGATCTAAACCTAAGCTTTTTTTTAAATGGAACGTTTGTCTGCAATCCATTGTCATTCATTTTTCTCTATAAAACGAAAGATAATTAAATCAATTCAAGAAAAAGCGATACATTAATCTTGTTTAGCCTGAAATGATATAATTGTATTGTAATGAGCTGCCTCCAAATTTTGATAATTTTAGCAAAGTCCCCCCCACCCCCTTTTTTGACTGAAAAAAAATTATAAAAATTCGCATATTTTACCTGTTAAAAATGCAATAATGAAGACCATTAAAGGTCGAGAGTACTAAAATTGAAATTTAGCATAAGATTTATCCTCAATCATAAATAAACAAACAAGACAACAAGACTTCAAGGATAAAATATTTGCTAATTCTTCTTGACAACAGAAAAGTCGACCATTTTTCTTCACAGCTAGCAACTATGCAGATGCATTATGGGAAGTAAACAAATCATGTCAAATCGTCTCTACGACAAACCGTCCTGGACAAATCGTACCAATCCGACTTTGGAAAACGTAAAGTGTACCTGAGTGAAAATTTTTAAAAGATTTTTTTTCATTACTAATGTAAGGAAAATTTTGATGAATAGAGTATAAGACGAACAAAAAAGTCAAAAGCCACGATGTGGAAGAAAAGATTTAAATTCCGTTCAGAGCAAAATTAACTGTGGTCTGAAATCAATATTTCTGATTTGATTATCCAGTCAGAATACTCGTTTGATAAATTCCTTCTATTTTTACGTCTGCGTGATCGCGCTACTTCTAAAATTAGAGTCAAAACAAGTATGGCGGCTTCCTCGGCCAATTTTTTGGCATCGTCAGCAAATTCCACGAACTGTGGTGTAATTGTGTGGGAATGGTTTGAAAACAACGGTTCATGGCAACCATATGAGTCTGATGTCGTCGCTTTCATCGAAGATAATTATCTTAAGGGGGCTAGTGCTGCAAATTTAGGGAAAATCAACCCCAACTTGAGTCTGTACAATGTATTTTTTTCATCGACGATTTATCAAATTCGACTTGATACTGGTAAGTTACGATGGTGTTCGTCTGCTTTGTGACGAGATCAAAATCAATACTCTCAGTCGACACAGTCCACGTTCTATTTTCCTATCTGTAATCTCTTTGCTAACGTATTGCGAAATAACGGACAAAAACTGAAACTGAAAGTAGACTAATAAATTCTATTTCTAAGAAATAAAATTAAATGAGGCTTCAGGCTCAAGGCCACTGTGATTGAAATCTAGAGAGAGTCTGAGATTTTTTTTTATAATGAGAGAGAGAGAGAAGGGGGGATGGGGGGGAGGCACTGACCTTTGACCAATTGCAGACATTAACTGAGCCACAGGAAGTGTGCAAGTCAGATTTAAAATATTATTATGGTTATGGGATGTCATTTATCATTTTCGAATCAGAAATATTACTCAATTCAGATTTGTAATGTATTTCTCAGAAACTGGAGCGTCATTATAACTATTTAAGATCAGCCATGACTGAGGTTGCCCAAATTTCTAACCTAGTAAGGGAGAGTCATGCCGGAAAAACTTGCAAACTTGCTCTGACACTAATATCTGGCAAATGTAATAGAACATAATACAACAATCAAATTCCTGTAGTTTTCTGTTGCCTAATATTGCCACATCAGCCTTATCTCTGAATACTGGATACATTTATCAAACCTTGTTTGTCATGATAGGTAGGATGTCCAAATAGGTAATCCTATTTAATCCTTAGGGTTGTCAAGTAGGCATCCCTTCCAGAATGTCCACTGACTAATGTACCGGTATATTTTTATTCTTATTATATCTAAACTTTATTTAAAGGGATTGTTAACAGGTTTTCTAAATTTTGTTTGAATATAGAGGACATTAATAGAATCAAATTGCACCATTCAAAGAACTATATCTGTGGTTCCTGCAATTCCACAAAAACTAATTGTTTGATGACTTCACAAATTGTGAAAGGCCTATGTGATAAAGCATATTTCATGATCAGTGATGTCATCAATCACTTGATTTTAGTGGAATTGCAGGAGCCACAGATGTCTGATTGAAAATTGGAATGGTGCAACCTGACGATATCATTGTCCCCTATACACATAAAAAAAGTAGAAAACTTCTTTACAATCCCTTCAATGTTCTTTGGTATATTAATAATATCTGATATATTCAATGATGATTTTTTTAAGGCAACAGAAGACACGTAAGAAGAAAAATCTACCAAATGACGAGCCCTGACCTAAATAAAATAACGTGGCAGTGGGCTGGTGATTATATAGGACAGTGGAACTCGTATAGTTTTGACGTAGCATCGATGATAGAGTCGGTGTACGCAGGACAACAAACTAACTTCATAGATTTAAGCCAAACACAATTCAAACTCCCGTATTTTATTGATCTGAAGAATTTCCAACAAGTAAGAATAGAAACTGGAACAGCCAGAAGTATTCGACGCGAAAAATTAAACGTTCCATTTCCGCTTTCTAATGGAAACAATGTTCCACCACCTCAGACTTTTCAACAATCTGCGTTAAATCCAACAAGTATTTCCTCGTTACTTGGACAATCTTCTCAAACCAGTTCTAGTACAAGTTTCCAACAAATATCGCAAGTTACTTCTGCTTCTGCCTTGTCGGCACACGCATCTCAAGTTGCTTCTAGTTCTAATTCAATGCCTGTACATTCACCACAAGTCGCTTCTAGTTCTAATGCAATGTCTGCACATCAATCCCAAGTGCAAGTGAGTTCCTCCAGTTTAGGAAAACATCGACAGAACAGCGATGATTCCGATGGTGGGAATGTGGGGTCTGGTGGTAAAATAGCCAAAATTGTACAAGTTCCAACTTCCAACCATTCTTATGTACAATCTTATGTGAACAATTTACCCTCTACTAGTGCTGCATCAAACACAATGCCTCAAATAACACCATATTCCAATCATATGATGTATGGCAACCAAATGACTGGATTAATCACATCTTCACCATATTTAAGTAGTCTTGGTCTCTCAAGTCCTAATTTCAATATGACTGCTGGACCGTCTCAACAACCATCTTCTGGACCGTTGACACGGCAACAATTCCAACAAATGATGCAGATGTCAAGTTTTGGTGGAAGTTTGAACATGCCCATGACCCCAGCCTCAACTGGGTTTTCATTCACAAATGGAATCACAGCTCCTGGGTAAGTACAGATAGAATTTTTGATTATAATTGTTAGCTTTGTCAGAGCTGTAAAAAGAAGTCTGAGAATGTAAGCCCAAAAATTTGAATAAGTTTTGTTGACATAACAATGCCAAGTTTTCAGAGGTAGAAGCATTTCCCTTCCCTCTTTAATGCAAAATACACAATATCTTGGTATTTCATACATTACTTAAAGCGGCAGTGTGTACATATTCCACTAATGTCAAAGTTAATGCTTTTGAGTATATCAATTTTAAACAGTTCAAGCTAGTCAAGACTAGTGGTTACATAGAGTAAATAGGTGGTCTGCAACCAATAGCTCAGTTGGTATTAAGTTTGATTGTAGTCTGTTAGCTAGCAGCCCCGTCACCAGGAATGAATTGGTGCTGGGTCTCAGATTTTGTACTCATAAAAGTTGAAGAATTAAAGGCCCAGAGAACTCATTTCTGACAATTTTGAGGTGCCAAAAACGTATCAAAATCTATATCTTTTTGATTTTGTACAAAGAGACAGTAAATGAATCAATCTCTGCTGAACTGAAGAAGGTTTTGCTGGGGCTTAATTCTCACTTGCTAGGGCCCAGCCTAAAGACGGGGCTGTTAGCTAGTGAGGGTGAGTTTCCCTTAATGTAAAATAAATTTGGATGCCATGGCTAATGCATTTGTGAGTTTTTCAAACAATTCCAACTAGTCGAGACTTGTGGTAATGTAGAGTAAATAGGTGGTCTGTAGCCAATAGCTCAGTTGGTATTGAGTTTGATTGTTAGCTAATGAGGAGTGAGTTGAGTTTCCTTTAATGTGAAATAAATTTTGATGCCATGGCTAGTGCATTTGTGAGTTTTTCAAACAGTTCCAGCTAGTCCAGACTAGTAGTAATGTACATTAAATAGTTAGTCTGTACTCACTAGCTCAGTTGGTAGCGAGTTGCATAGTCATAGTTTCAGTTTTTCCGTATTTCTGATGCCATACCCAGTGCATTTGTTAGTCTGCTTCAGCTAGGCCAGACTCATCATAATGAACTCACTGCGAGTATTAATTGTAGTCTGTAGTCACTACTAGCAATGATAATAATCAATAAGACCACAGTCTGAGTCTACTAGTTCAATATCCGATTCTCTCACAACAGTGTTGTAAGCTCTATTTATACCACCAGTATTTAGACTTAGCCTGTAATGAGATGGAGATGTAACGTTCAAACAAGGTTGGAAAAACAACGAGAGGAAAATGAACTGCTATTTCTAAGGGAAGTGACCTATATCTTAAGAACTGAGGTGTTGTTATTGTGAAATACAGATGTTTCCTTCTTTCCTTGTGCCAGTTAACTATTCTGCGTTGCAAAAAATTGACTGATTGATAAATGGATGTCCTGGAAAGGTCAGAAAAACTACTTCAGTGTATGACCTAATAATTGTAAACTAGGTTACTGTTGTTGTCATCTATGGATGCTAAAAAGATTTCTTCTCAAAAGATCAATGTAATACTGAACTATTCTCATTCTGTGTTGTGGCTGGAATTAGTATTTGAAAATGTACATCCAGCATTGATCAGAAAAACAAAGATGAACTGATATGCATTACTTAGACTATTGTTTTTTGTGGAGGTTACACTGAATATTTTCTATAAAGCAAACTTTTTATAGCTATAATTATAAATCTCTTCTTGCGATATTGAACTCTTATGACAGCAATATTGACTTCAAACATGACTCAATTGTAAAAAATGGTGTGAATTTCAGAAGTAATGAATGTATATATATGATTCTCATAGATGGATTGTAAATTTCATCTTTTATGACGTATATGAAATCTTAAAAAAGTGTTAATATATTTATAAAGGCCTTAGACATACTTTGAACCTTTATATGAAGTCAAATCTCTTATCAACATGAAGAGAGTTTTAAATCTAAAATTAAGGTAATGTTTATAAGCTGATGTATATAGAGTTAGATATGTATTGTTTCACAATTTTAGGGAGGGTGGGGCTGGTCATTTTGGTTATTTTTCAGATCAAAATGTTACATATTTATGTTTAAAAATAAATTATGATCAGACCAATATGGTGATTTTTTGCGAAACGGACACAACCCCACAAATGGACAAAATATCTCTCATAATGGTTGTAGTTATAGCTTTATATCTATCCTGATTGATGTCAGATATTTTTAGACTTTATGATGATAAATTGGTTTGGAATTTAATTATCAGGAATCTCTATTGATTTAGTTCTGGGAGTGAAAGTACCGACCGACTGACAGAGATAATTACTGTCAATTTGGTACTCGGGCTGTATCAGTAATCTGATAAGGGGAGTGTTTGTAGATTGTGTGATATTTATTTTCTGCATACTTTTACAATTTTATAATTATATTTCATCACATGTCATGTCATATCATATCTTTGGGTCTAATATATAGAGGAACGACAGGAAAACAGCCTGTCTGGGTTGTGTAGCAGGCAGAAGAATTCTGTATAAGATCTCGTCAGTCAGGATCTCAATGATGCGTAGAGGAATCCGTAAAAAGTGAAATATTCCAGTAAATATTCCCCCAATAACTGACTAAAGCAGAGATGTTGATTATAAGAAGAGGAAGGGTGCCTGTGACCTGAAAAGTTTTGTGGAATTAAAATCATCTTATAATCAACATCTCTGCTTTAGTCAGTTATTGGGGGAATATTTACTAGAATATTTTACCTTTTGAAATAATACAAAGGACCTGAATTTGAGAGGATATGCCTGTCAAAAAAGAAAGGCACCAAATACAATCAAAGAAGCAGTCAATTTAGTTAATTACATTCTGTCATTTTAAGGATGATCTTAATTTAGTTTCCATCAATTATTGACTGAATAGTTTGGAATTTTATTGATTTTTGTGATAGATTCCTTAGGAATTGATTGAACATGATGTTTCAATATACATCGTCTATCCCTAGATGTAGATCTACAATATGGCAGCCTTGAGAGAAGAGGGATGTAGGTTAGTTACTTAGAGTGTTGCTATCATATGATGTCATGCTCCCTCCCACATCTACGTTGTTGATTTTGTCAGCTTGTTGACTTATATTATAGATTGAAATTTTGATAGTTCCAAGTAAGCTTTCTCATGATGTTGACCTATAAAGTAGTGCTGGGTGTCCAGCAGACCATGCTTACTCTTTTTGAAACACCTGATGGTACTTCATGTGAAGGGGTCCACAATACAACTTATACTCTAAATTTTGCTGTACTTAGAACAAAATTTTGATGAACGGAATGATCTTGCTTGTACAAATGTTTTTTTGTATTGATGACTTTGGGACCTTTACTTGTGGATTGTTATATGAATAGGTCCAAGTAAGTTTGACTTACGTATTGTGATATGGATAGTTCCAAGCAAGCCTTCTGTATTGTTGTCTTTTGAAGTTTGACATATGGATTATGATTTGGATATATATAGGTCTGATTTTGTGATGTCAGTTTGGAAATTTTGACTGATGTATTTAGAGTTTGACGTATGAATTGTGATTCAGAAAGATATGTCAATTCTGTCCTTGTTATTCAACATGAATACGAAAGAAAATACAATGTTATTGGTAAACGGTAAAGAGAATGGAAATCAGAATCACCACGGTGGCCAATCAGATGAATTGGATATCTGCCAATTGTGTTATTGTCTGCTGCTAGAAAATTCATGGAATAAAGATGAGATCTGTTCCTTGATGAATATCACATGTTGTTATAGGTGACATCAGACTCCAGAATATATTTTCTGCAGGTTCCAGTAAGTTCTTCAGTTTGCGTTTGTCTTTTGTATTGCCAATGATAGTTCCTGATTTTTTTCTGTATCATTTTGGAGAGGAATTTTATTTATAATTTGTAGTTACACGTTATTCATCAGGTGACAACAGGTTTTAGGAATATTTTCTGTAGATTGTAGGAAGTTTTGTAGCTTGTGACACAAAGTTCAGGATATTTTTTGCAGTATGAGTGTATATATTTCTTCTATTATTGTGAAGTAGAATTTTTTTTTAATTTTCACAGTCATAAGTTATTTATTGCATGACAGAATTTTGTGAAGTAGGATTCCAGGAATAACTTCTAAATTGTGTAAATTAATACCCAATATTTCGGCAGTTCATCAAACAGGTCTGAAGTTTTTGGTGGTGTAGCACAAGCCTTATCTCTTGTATATTTTTCTCAAAGTGTCAAGCTCCTGACTGGGTTATTCTGGTAGTGGATTGTTTTTTATAGTTTGTCTTGAAGTCTTGTGTTAAAGTTCCAATACTCAATTGTTTATGTTTTATATTTACAGTTTGTCTAACAATAACGTGATGAACAGTGTCAAAGACTTCCAGGATACAGTGCCATGATGTGGAACTATATATGTTAATGATTATAATGTTTTATATTTACAGTTTGTCTAACAATAACGTGATGAACAGTGTCAAAGACTTCCAGGATACAGTGCCATGATGTGGAACTATATATATTAATGATTATAATGTTTTATATTTACAGTTTGTCTAACAATAACGTGATGAACAGTGTCAAAGACTTCCAGGATACAGTGCCATGATGTGGAACTATATATATTAATGATTATATGTTTTATATTTACAGTTTGTCTAACAATAACGTGATGAACAGTGTCAAAGACTTCCAGGATACAGTGCCATGATGTGGAACTATATATATTAATGATTATACATGTTTTATATTTACAGTTTGTCTAATAATATCATGATGAACAATGTCAAAGGACATGGAAGTAAAATATCACCCGTTGTTTCAAGTAAGTAATCAAACATTTTGACTGATCAATTTACAAATTTGACAAAATTGATTGCACTGCATCAACCAAAGTTATCTGAGAATTTGCCTGGGAGAATTTTTGATGTCAAGGCTCTAAGACCTATCAGATTAAACTCTTTTTAGTCACTATTTTACACATGAAATAATACAATAATATACTTACGGTTTTTTAATGTTCTACAAATGCTTGTATCAGTGAGCTCCCGCAGTAACTTTTCTCATTGCCTAAAATTCAGTATTTGAAAGGTAACCCTCATTTCCAAAACTACCTGAGGGATTGTTTATCCAAAACAAGAGATGTCCACTATTTATATAGAATACACTTTATTTTTCAGATATAACTAACGTGTTGACGTCACCCCTGGTCCCTGGTGCCTTCACCCCGACGCTAGGACCCACGCCCTCCCTCCAGCCTACCGCTAATAGCTGGACTGGATCCTCATCATCCAAACCCTCCACCTTCCCTTCCAAGGGTCATATAGTTCTTCCAAAACTTAAAAAATCAAAAGGTAAGGTGATCGAATCAAATTTTGGTTGCAAACTTGTTGATACCTTGGCCAGGCCCTGTTTCTCAAAAAATCTTACAATCAAATTTTATTTGAAGGTGGTTGATTTTTAAACATTTCACAAATTTTAGTCGAAAAATATGTTTATTTTGGAAACTTTTTGTTATTAGCCATTTGTTAGTGACAACATTCACTGCTCAACTAACATTCGCTTATACATACATAAAAATGTAGTAGTACTTATAACATGATATAAAGAATTTCCTTTGATGTTTTCCTGGTATAAACAAGTGGGAGGAGCTTAGCTGTTCTATAACAAGGTTTAATTCAGGCTCTGTGTTTAAATCTGTTAACCCATGAAAACTGCTAGAAATATAACTTATCTGACTATAAAATTTCAGAGAAATCAAAATCAGAATTACCAAATAAATTTTTGAAACCCGTTGTAAATCCTGCTGAAATAGAAGACTGTTGTATTTGTTGTGAAAAGTTAAACACAGAATCAGGGTATGGTAACAGTAACCATAGCGATGGTGAGGTGGTAGCTTTGTCGCTATGTAACCACATGTTTCATCGTCAGTGTTTAATGGCCATGTATAACAGTGGCCCAAAGGTACGTGGTCTGTATTTAAATATTATTTATGAAAAATTAGACACAGATAGGAAAATATTACGCATGGCTTCGTGGTTTGGAGGAGCTGACATGGAAAAGTTATTCGGATTGGACAATAATGGCACCATCTGCTACAGCCCTGTTCAGATTGCTCCAAAGTTGGAATTAAAGAAGACATCTGCCAAAAATCCTCTCCATAGCATACTGCATGGCTTTGCTTGTCATCATTAGCATAACAAGGAGCAGGGAATACTGTTACCTTTCATCCCATTTTGCCTCTTTCCCTACTAAATGAATCAGATGGTATTTTCTCAAACATATTTCAAAAATAACTTTATAGGATGGTAGTATACAATGTCCCAACTGTAAGAAAATCCATGGTTTAAAATTGGGCACGTGCCCTGGGGGTGAGATGGAGTATTGGACCCTACCTGAATCATTACCAGGTCACAGTGATTGCGGCTCTATTTGTGTTCGATATAATATTAGATCGGGAACTCAGGTAAGTCTTGTTATTTGTTTACAGCAAGGGCAGTAATCCATGATAGAATAGAAACATTCATAAGAATGGTAGAGTAAGATTTTTATATTTTCTGATAATCAAATATCAAGAAGTTATAAAAGCAGGTCAATTAAACGTTAGTTGTATAAATCATCAATAATCACTGTATATGTTCTTTGTACTGTGGGTATTTATGTTGTTTATCAATTGTCCATGTTGCATAGAGCATCTGAGCATATTTGTATCCGAGATCTCTCTTCTTCCTAGTTGAGGTGATAATAGAGACTTTTTTATTAATATTACCTTGTTTGTAATTTTCAGGGTCCAGAACATCCATCACCTGGTTCAAGATATTCTACATACGGGTTCCCTCGTGTTGGATATTTACCTGATAATGAGAAGGGTAGGAAGGTGGGTATAGCTAAAATATTGTTTTATCACTGATGAATTTAAAAACAAAATTGTCCATTCCTAAAGTCCTACATGTATATCCTGAATAAAGTTCAAGTTTGTTCTGCTAGTGCTTATAATGATAAGTTGGAAAAGGGTAATAATCGTGATGCCTTAAGAATGACCATGACTTATGATGCTTTCCTCTAACACTGGGTTGGAACGCTGTTTTTCTTTACTAGCTTAGCTAGTAGGAGTCTCATCTTTGTGGGATTACGGGGCTGCAGGTTTTGATCCATCTAAAATACTCAACCCAAAGTAAGCTCATAACGCTTTTCACTGTATGCATGAATTGAAAAACCCTGCAGTTAGTTGGATTATTGTCTTGGGGATTAGGTGCTATGGGCAAGAAAAATTCTCATCCACAGTCATTTCTTTGGAGAGTCCAGGTACCAGCTTTCAATCCCTATGACCTAATATAGTGTTTTTTTCTATTTCAGGTATTACAGTTATTTATTGTTGCGTGGAAAAGACGTATCATGTTTACAATTGGAACATCATCAACATCAGGTTATCAAAATACAGTCACGTGGAACGAAATACATCATAAAACTGAGTTCGGGTCTAATAATTCTGGACATGGATATCCCGATCCTAACTATTTAGATAATGTGTTGTTGGAACTATCCGTTCAGGGCGTTACCGAGGAAGATTTGAACGATGCCTAACTCGTGGATAAAATTTATTCCCCTTGTTGAGTGCCACAAATGCCATTATTTAGCTCCTGTGGAAGTTAACACTATGCTTATTGATAAGGATATCTCTAAAAATACTCTGTTTTTACTTTGTGAAAGAAAAAAATGTGCTCTAATAGGTCGTTTTTTAAGATATATTGAGTGCAAGAGGCGGGGGTAATTTGTCAATCAGTGTTAGAGGTGTGACTAAGTATATCAATCAGTGTAAGAGGTGGGACTAATTTATTAATCAGTGCAAGAGGTGGGACTGTTTGTCTGTGCTAGACTAGACTAAGTGCTAGAGTCAGAACTGAACAATATTGGAGAGAGGTTGACTTGTCAAACTGTGTCAGAGGCGGGACTTGATGTTCAGAGTTAAAGGCTAAACACTCTGATAGATTAATATGACAACCTGTGTTGAGGTGTCAATCAGCAGTAGAGGCGTGACTAATAATGTAAATCAGTGCTAGAGGCAGAACAATTTGTTAAAAGTTCAGTCCACAAGATTGGAGACATTTCACAGATAGTCAATAACAAAGCAAATGGTGCAAAAACCAAATAATATACAAGATTGTGTGATAACTAATTTGTGAACATGCTATACTTCTGATATATTTCTAGTTATGACTACAACATGTAAAATGATTTATATATTGCAAGGTTATTTTTTTTATTGTTTACGATGATGACATAGTGCTGTATGCTAAGTCCCCTTAAAAATGATTTTGATATTCTTTGAATTTGACCAAACCAATGGCCAAGGGCATTTCTGCTTATCAAAAGGTTTTATGCCTTTTGTCCTCTGAAAGAGCTGCTGTTATAGCATTTCCGTTCTTCTTTTCTGCATCATGTGGGCTTAGGAAGACGTGGATTTGTTAGACTTAGAGGCTGTATAAATTTTGTATAAGAAAGATGTGTGTTTTATGATTCAGAAAGCAGCATGACCCAAGACAAGTTACTCCTCTGAATGTTTATGTAAGGAATGGTTGTTTGATTATTGATAGTTTAACTGAGTGTATTTTGTATAGAATTGTTTTCTATTTATAAATCTTGAATATCAATATCTTGGTAATTCAGTTTCTGATCTCCAGAAATCATCTTGAAAATGTCACGAACTTAGTCTTATACCTTGACTAAAATAGCCACATTTCATGGAATGCAGCATATTGGATTGCATGTCGGAGAATTCAACCAATCAAAGCCTTCTATAGAGAGATTATACATGATTTATTGTTTATAGACTTTCTGTCAAGGACTGATTGGCTGAAATCGCAAGTATACAATCCAATCAGATCACTGCATACAAGAAAGGGGGCTATTGCAGTCAAGACTCAAGGTATTAGACAGTTCATCATAGATTGACATTGTGAAGACATCAAGAAAACTGCCCTGTGTTTATGCCCATATCCAGTGAAATAATAAAGGGTAAACTACAAATTTTGAAGATTTATTCAATAATTAATATTTTCTATACACAATATTTATACATCAACAATCATACATACAAAGAAATAACTTTACATTTAGAGACAAACTTCTTGGATTGTCAATCAAATTATTCAAACATACAGTATGAATATTTTCCAAAGTTTCAACTGTTGAATCTAGTGGCTCTAGTTACAGAACACCATCAACAGCATTGAATATATGCCACTGACAACTTTTGGAAGTAGCATTTCAACCTTTTAAGCAAGGATTTGATTGAGCACTAAACATCTGAACCGTTTCAACGACCTAGAATCTGTTGGTGAAAGCTCTTCTCTGACAGATCCATCCAGCACCATTTTGTGATTATAACTTGTTGAATCTCACACATACGAGACATACGACAACTCCATAACCAAATCACAGATAAATCAAGGTGACAGCACTATAATCTTGAAGGTCAAGGTTGGGGAAACTGGGGCATGGACATCCCCTGTGAGGCGAACCCCAGCCCTACACCACGATGAGTGTGCGTCGACATTCTAGCGAATTCATAGTCTTTATCTAAACGGGCGAATAACTCTTCACGTTTTAGTCTCTGTTCCTCGGTCAAATCCTCATCTGCTATGGAAGCGTCCTCACCCATTCCCATCAGTTTACGGAATTTAGCCCCCATTTTACCATCTTGATCAGCTTTGAAGGCTGTTCCTTGCCACTGATCTGGTATCTCCTAAAAAATATAAGGAACAACACAGTTAACAACACATTCCTGTCTATAACTAACAAGTTAAAGTCTTAACAGATTAGCTATGAAATGAGTCTAGTAGAAATCAGCAATCCTGTCCTATGATCAGATAGCAACACATTTCAGAGAGATATGCTATTGTCTACTGTTCAGTTATTCTCTTTTTTTTATTGTCGTATCAAGATTAAACTAAAGAGAAGACAGAACATAACTGTTTTTAGATAACAATTTGTTAATAAAGCAAGGGAGCAGACTTTCATGTCTTAATTGACCTCATCACAGCCAAGAGAAACTGATGAAAGACTGTTACGATTAATTTCCTGTAAGTAAATCTATACACTAACCTCTTTCTTTTCCTTTTTAGACCAGAGTAACTTCCTCTTCTGCACCTGTTCAGCATATTTTAATGGATTTACAGCTGCTGGATTATAATACTTGGGAACTGCTACACCAGTCATTTCTTGTGCCTTAAAAATAACACAAAATATTCTTAAAAGATTTGAAAATTTCAGGACTGTGTTTTAATTTTATTTCTGCATTTCCTGATATATCTTTGTATCATTGGCCAATGTAGAATCTTGTCCACAAGGCTAATTATCCTTATTTAGGGTCTGGGTTTGTTAAGGTAGTCTATTTTAGAGTGTCCACAAGGCTGATTATCCTTATTTAGGGTCTGGGCTTGTTAAGGTAGTCTATTTTAGAGTGTCCACAAGACTAAATATCTATGTTTAAGGTCTGGGCTTGTTAAGGTAGCATATTTTAGAGTGTCCACTAGACTAATTATCCTCATTTAAGGTCTGGGTTTGTTAAGGTAGCATATTTTAGAGTGTCCACAAGACTAATTATCCTCATTTAGGGTCTGGGTTTGTTAAGGTAGCATATTTAAGAGTGTCCACAAGGCTGATTATCCTTATTTAGGGTCTGGGTTTGTTAAGGTAGTCTATTTTAGAGTGTCCACAAGAATAATTATCCTCATTTAGGGTCTGGGTTTGTTAAGGTAGTCTATTTTAGAGTGTCCACAAGAATAATTATCCTCATTTAGGGTCTGGGTTTGTTAAGGTAGTCTATTTTAGAGTGTCCACAAGAATAATTATCTATGTTTAAGGTCTGGGCTTGTTAGGGCAGCATATTTTAGTAGGTCCACAAGAATAATTATCCTCATTTAGGGTCTGGGTTTGTTAAGGTAGTCTATTTTAGAGTGTCCACAAGAATAATTATCCTCATTTAGGGTCTGGGTTTGTTAAGGTAGCATATTTTAGAGTGTCCACATGGCTAATTATCTATGTTTAAGGTTGGCCAATACAACATCTCTTGAAAGGTTCACAAATCTATCAACATTAATTCTGAAACTAACAATATAGACTAATCTTAGAATCCTCCTCCATTTTATTCGGATTTAATATTAGAATTTAAAAGAAAATCTCTTACCTTCTGTTGCATAGCTGCCATGGTTTGTAACAGAGCCATTTGAGGTGTTACATGTGAATCTCCATTAGGGTCAACTTCTGAAAAATAACAAGATTTTTTTATGTATAGTTATATATTATTTGATCATTTGCTACGGTGATATATCTTAGACCAAAGCGACAAGGTCCTGTCTAACATTCAGTCTATCAGAATGAACCTAATACCCCTTTTACACTCGGCTCTGATTAAGTGCGCCAGGCTATGATTGGTGCCTGGCCCACTTTAATTTTACTAGAGTAAACGGAATAAAGCGAGCCAATTTAATAGGGGCCTGGCACTGCAATAAGAGGTGGGAAAAGGTCCGGATCGGTGCCCGGCCCATTTCAATTTTACTAGTCCATCCGGGTCAGGCTCTCTTTATCGGGGCCTAGTATAAAAGGGGTATTAGACTCCTCACAACATGGGTCAGAATTAGGTCCAATACACCAAAGTGACATGGTCCTGTCGAACTTTCAGCCTCTTGGGACAAATAAACACTCCTTATTTTACATGGGTCAGAATTAGGTCTACCACAAACTACCACAAAGTGACATAGTTCTGTTTAACGGCCCATGGGAATAGTGATATTAATTCAAAATGACCTACCTCCAACACCATCTAATAATTTGCCAGCTTTGATGAGATCCTGTCTCATCTTCTCCCTAAATGTCATTGGTTTCTTTGCTAAGGTACCACTAATCTTCTTCTGATAGGAACTAATGGGGACGGACTTATACCTAGGACTGGGACTTCTACTACGACTATAACTTCTTCGTCTTCTGGGACTACGACTGCGTCTATGACGTCTTCGTGGACTACGACTTTTACTGCGATGGCGTCTGGGGCTCCGGCTTTTGCTTCTATGTCGTCGTGGACTACGACTTTTGCTTCTGTGTTTTCGTTTATGAGATCTGTCGTGACTTCTGCTACGATGTCTGTGTTTATCTCGTGATGATCTTCGTTCTTTAGACCCTCGTTTTCTATCACGTGACCGACTCCTGTGTCGTGATGAACTTCGTTTTCGTGATCGACTTCTACTTCGTTTTGAATGTGGGCTTCGATGTCTTCTTTTCTGAGGGGAGAAAATATCCGGTTAACTTATCTCATAATTTGTTTTTGTCAAAGTCATGACTCTTGAATAAATAAAGAAAAGCATAACTTTACCAAACAAATTGCCAACTTAATAACTTTTAATATATTCTTTCGACACCAGCTATATATCTGTGACAGTTGAACTCTATCAACATAATAAAAATAGTTATCTTTAAGTTCATCTATTCTACTGTCACTTTCTTCTTTATACCACTTTGATTATGAAATTTAACTGACCTCTTTTCTAGAGTGTGACTTCTTATCTCGACTTCTATCTTTAGATCTTGAACGACTTCGCTTATCTTTGGATTTTCTGTGTCGTCTTGGTGATACTGATCTTGACCTTGATCTTGAGGTGGAACTTCCCTTGCCACTATCCTGAAAATAGTGCTATAAATTAGAAAAGAAAAGATTAGTAAATATTTGAGGCTAACAAATCTTGAAATCGTGACAGGTGTGCGATGGGGATTTTATAATGAGTCCAGAGATTTTCTGACAAAGGCCCATGATTTGATCCTGTTACTGAGCAGGTGAAATATGTCAATTAAGTTCTGTAAGCTTCTTAAAATTGGACTATAATCAAACCCTTACAAACTGAACACAATTATGTAATTATAATAATGGGACCTTATTCTAGAAAACATAGCAAGCAGAAAATCCTGAATAAGAGATAAAGTAATCTGATTGGTTAAAAAAACTAAATTTAAAATCAATTTTAGTGATTGACAAATCAGATGACTAAATTCATCTAAGTTAAGCTTTCAAGAATAATGTCCCAGACACCCATTTCTCAAATCTTGACAAAATTTATCAATAGACTAAGTATTCACTCAGATAATCTCAAGATTTTTCGAGAAATGTGGGCCAGAGTATCTGATATCACAAATATAACCCATACATTATAATATCACAATAACAGAACAAAACTGATTAAATATTCATGACAAACCTCGATGCAACTTACCTCCCTTTAACGGACTTACAATTGACAACATGATCGTGTTGTCAACGTTATGGAATTGGTGGAACAGAACGGCTTTCAAATTGCAGGATACCTAACGATATGCAAGTAAGCAGGTCAGTATGTACAACAATGTTTGGGTGGAGATATCAACCCTACGCCTATGCTTAACTTTTTTTTGATAAGTCTTTTACCCTCTGTTCATGTTTTGTCTGATGTGGGCATATATTACCCATAACCTTTTGACTGATTTAGATAACTATATTGGTATTTAGAGTGAATAGTCAATTCAATTCATAGCTAAGCCAATACAGTAGAGGACTATTCCCATTCGGTATGATATAAGACTTGAACATCAGACGAATATATACCAGTTTATAGTACAAAATATAATCAACCATCTGACAAAACCCAGCAAATATACTACCATTCATTTATCATTACCTTTTTAGGACGGAAAGCTGCTGGTGCTTGTTCACTCTCTTTCTCTTTGGAAATGGTTTCAACTTCAGTGTGCAATATGATCTCTGAAAAGGAAAGCAAAGTTTCAAATTTAACATAACATTTAACATTCAGTGGTCCTTGAAATAAGGGAACAAAGTTCTAGCGAAATTAATTCCCAAAAAACTGCAAAGTCATTAATGCAAAAGCCATCTGTATATTATGTTGCAAATGGAACAATAACGCAAGTGTTCCAAATACACATACTAGGTTTGAAAACTATTTTGATGTATATAAAATTAAATAAAGCATGCCAGGATTGAATTGAACTCAATCAGATAATCACTAAAAAATACAAAATAGAACAGAGCTAACACAGGAATCAAATAAGCCACTAACCTGGTGAAAAAGATTTGGAAGACGCATCAGAACTGGAACCAGATTGAACCTCAAACGAATACGTCTCACTGGCTCCTTCAGAAAACTTTCGTTTCACTTTCTGTTCACCACTCGTTCCTACAGCATCATCTTTACTCTCTAATATAGCATCTCCGTCAATTAACTTTTCAAATGAGGCCCACTCATCTTCTAGACTTCTTTCTGTCGTCATTTTACTAGAGCTAGACTGAAAAATAGCAAAAACATTGAAATCTTGGCAAAATGTTCTGGACAAATGGTTTTCATTCAATCAATCTCGCATTTTTCTTTCTTGAACTAAATTTTTAGAACTGTCGCCATTATTATGACATATTCCTCCTCTCAATGCACCAAAGTTATATTTTGTCAGATAAATTTTAGGTGGCTGTATAAACTATTTCAGTATATCTAATATCTCTTAAGAGGTGGTAAAACTTACACAATTAGTAAGAAAAAACTTAAAACTTCAACCCATTTGAAGAATACTCACAACCCTTGTACAATCTTTCTTTTAACGATTGGCGCCATGTTGGATTTCACTTGACATCAAGTCATGTTTGACTTCTTGTTAAATTTAAATTAAAAAAACAAATTATCTAGTGTTTGAAACCCAGCACAATTTTTAGAAACTTATTTTAGGGTTTGTAGACATTGGATCAATGCAATGCAGTACAATTTGAAAATGGAACCAGGAAAGAAAAACTTATTTTTTAATACAAAGAAGTCTTTTCTGTCGTCAATAGGCCTATAAATATACCTACCATCTCTGACATGCCTGAATCAACTGCAATATTAGGCCTATTTGAAAAGCAGCAGAGGCAGTTGATTGAAGGCACAGTTTGGTCAGGAAGTCAGATAATATAAAAAGCCAAGGGTCAAGGTTTTTGCTGCACTAGATTTATGACTAAGCCATTCACAAACCTTAAATATTGGCAGGCGCAAGTTTCTACCTTTATGAATGATTTCCCCATAACGATTTACATCAGACAATAGGTCCATCCATCGTTGACACCCTCCCCCTTTTTTCATAATAAAAAAAATCCATATTTTGAGACGCAATTAGAAGCGCAATTTTACACTTACTCCCAAATTTGTTCATTCAAAATCAGAAAAATTCTCAAAGCATATAGTTACCTGATAATTTTGGTTCAAACTTGGCGATTGTTTCGAGTTTTCGTCGGTATAACCAGCCAGAAGATCCATTCTCCTGAACGACTCTGAACAAATATGGCGACCAAGAAGGAATGTTAAGTACCCGGATGAAATGACGCGTTACTTTATGGAAAACGTTAGCCTCCAATATTGATTAGTTAACAAAGCACAAGAAACTGTATTCAGAACAAAACTCAATCAGGCGACACTCTTTATATTTGGCATTGATTGTTGTCATTAGCAAGTAATTAGAGATAATCTCATTAAATACTAGCTAATTAATACAATGTTGATTGCTGATTTTTCTTGATAAAAACCTTATTGTCATATTGGATTACCACGAATAAAACATTTTGGTGTTGATTTTTTGACATTTTTTAAAATACCAGATACCAGAAATACAACTTTGAGATGTCGTTCAAATCTTATAATTTACAATTTAAAGCCAAAGAAACTGCTGCTTATATTCTGGCAAATTTTTATCCATTGTACACTGCATGGCACTGTCGTTCTCCATTACCCCACAATGTGGAAAAGTTAGAAGTAAAACTCCAGCGCATATGATAATGAATATCTTTAAATCACACACAGTTTTTTCAGCTGCAAGAAACAAAAAAATTTGGGTAGTTTGATCGTTCCTTTAAATGAACAAAATATTGGTGATGATAGCTATCCATAATGTAAAGTAGACTTGATTTTTAAGACGGCTTAAGTATCACAGTCATTTTCTTTTTGGTTAATCCCGACTACTAAGTGCACGTGTTTTTGTTTGTTGACAAATTTTACAATCAGAAGAAATAAGTTGTTTTTTTGAGTTTTTCTCCCAAAATTTTTATTATGGAGGAGAAAATCGCAAAACGTAATGAAGAAGTTTCAAAAATTTTGAAAAACATTCCAGCTGGGAAGCCAAAATCTGGTCGGAAATGGAAAACTAAAAGAATAACAAGGTTGATACTTGACAAAATCTTTGTCATCATTTTGGAAACTGATAATGGAAAGAAGGGGGAGGGGCAAGGGAGTTGGGGACAAATGCCTGAATTGTTATTTGTTGGAAATTTTCATTCTGAATCACAATTTACCATGTAGGCCTATGTATAAAAGTAAACAGAACACTCAAAACACAGAGACCGGTATCATTATCATACTGTTGGTTAAAAAATCACACCGATATGTAATAATGTTTCAGCTTCATCTGATACCGGACCCTATGACTCAAAACACACATCATAGGACATTTCAGACATAACTGGCAAACACAGCAATATCAACAGCTCAACATTAATTATTAATTACTGTACTCTCCTACCAAGCGTCAAGGCCCGCACCTCTGACAGAAGGTGGCATGTTAGAAAAAATAAACGAGTTTTGGAATACCTTATAAGTTGATATGTGATGGCATTTCATTTGTGTAGTCAGACCATAACAATTTATTAGATCTTTGTTAAAGGAGCACCTTCACTATCCATTCGACCACCTTCACTATCCATTTAACCAATCATACCTTAGTTTCAGAAACAGGAATTTTTTTAGCTAATATAATCAGTAATAGTGTTCACAGCTCATCGTCGAAATTTGAGTCTTCAGATCGGTGTGTATCCATAATTATTCACGTTTGAAAGTTAAAAATTCAAGACTATGCCATGTAGAAAACACATATATAGGAATGGCTAATGAAACCTCTAGTTTGAGGTATATTTAAAGGGATTATGTGATTTTCATGTGTTTTAGTACTTCTTAAGACTATTAAAGCACAATAAAGACCCAAATCAATCCCCGAAAATGTTGACTGTTCCCCTTTAAAATTAAAAAGTCAATAGAAATAAGTAAATGTTCTTTATCATTGCCCTTATATTCTTTATTTATTATTTTCAGCCACACAGAATTTAAACTGGGAAAAAGTAATTTAAAAACCAGTTTTGAAGACAAAATGAAAAAGAAAGCAGAATTGAAATCTATTAAAGATTTTGAAAACAGATTAAAAACAGAGCGACAAGAAAGATTACAGGTAAATCTTAGGCTTTTTCATTAAATTTTGAGCTCCATTACAGTCATTATTCATGCTTCTACATAGGTTTTGTTTTGTAAATATAAACACACAAAACTCCAGAATATTTTATGTGTACTGACAACCTTCTCTTGTATGAAAAGATTATTTTAATTGGGTAAAATTCAAAATTCACTGAACCACTGTCCTATTTTTTTTTATTGATAAGGAGGTGTGGTTTAAACGACAACAGCCTTTAAGGATGGCCCGTAGCTAAAGGGATGGGAGGGGGGGGGGGGGGTTATGATTTTAGATGACTTGAATGACTTTTTGAGTGTCGTGGTAGAGCCCACCTAACATTGGCCGTAGGACCCTGGGCTAGCTACTGGCCTGCTTAAAGATACCTTATTGTGTTTTTTAGTATTTGGCTTTTAAATTACTATGTTTATGACAAAAGCCCATTAATACCTAGAATATTATTTGTTTTCCAGGTTAGAAGACAGAAAGTGAAAGAAAAACGACAGCGGAAATTAGAGAACGAAAAGAAAAATGAAATTGTAACACCTGTAAGTTTAAAATATAGTTGATACAGGTCCAAACTAACATGTCTATCCAGTGGCAGAGCCAGGTTTATGTCCGAGGGGGGACGAAATATCTGAGATTGCCCGAATTTCCAACCTAGTTAAGAGATTTTTGCCCGAAAAACTTGCTTTCGGGACTGCGAGGGGGCGCCACTGTGTCTATCCATAACAATCAGTACCAATAGATTTTTCATTTTGAGAACTGATGCTATTGTATTCAAGGCATTATTTATAAAGCACAAGTTGATCTATTCATTCATATGTGACAGAGAGTCAGCAAAAATTACAACAATTCATACAATGGATAAGTTTGAAATTCAGAATGATTCAATCAAATATAAACAACAGCGTGCATCATGGCAACGATTAGGTTCAATAGTGAACCTGTATTCTTCTAGATCAGCTGTATCTTGATTATCTAGCTGACATGTTAAATATGTGAGTCAACTCCTACAGCTTAATTTAAATACATACTTCATATATTTCAGATTACCAAGGCACATAAAATTAAGAAAACGAAGAAGAAATTATTGAGAGTGGTGAAATCTTGATTGTTTCTATTATTGACTCTGTGAACTGACATTAATATCATTAATTGTATTGTCCCATGGACTGAATGGTAGAAAGAACCATGTCACTGTGGTGTATTGAATATAATTCTCACCCGTGTAAAATAAAAAGTTTACTGTCATTATTAATATTATAGTGATAATGAAGAAATACAATATGAGCTATTATATTCAGACGTTTTGAATGGGATTACCTTTTTGCAGAACCAGTTTCAAAATATTGTCAAACTGATATTTGTGCTTATTCAGGCATGATTGAAAGATTACCAGAAAAAGTTCATTATATTGAGGTAGAACAATATATGGGTAAATGTTGAATAAATAGTTATAGAAGCTATAGCAGCTAGATTTTTATTGTGCTCATTATTACTTATACATCCTGAAAATAAAGTGAACTGCATGTTGATATTGTGAATCAGACCTGAATGAGCAAAAATATCAGTACTTCACTAATTGGGTTGCTGAGTTGATAAACCCATCTAAATATATCAATAAGCTATGTGCACTCTCTGAAAGGAATGCCTAGTTGATAAACCCAAATACTTCAAATGCATTATTAATCATGAGGACTCTCGGTTTGGTTGAGAAACCAAGTTGTTCTATTCAAATATTTATGTGATGAAACACCATGGATTATAAATGTCAAAAAAAACCAGTTTCTAAAGATGTATTTTATTTCGTTTAAGTAGAATACAAAATCTTTTTAGCACTATTATCAATCTATTTTGGTCTGAGTTACAGCGTTGTAGATATGCTGCCTTACTAACCCCACTAAATGGCACACATTTTTTTTCAAACAGCCAAAACTGTCACTAACTAAGAGCTCTTCAAAACATCAAAATGGCAAAATGTTTTTTGTCACAAAGTTGAAATTTTCCATTGGAATTCTAAATCTTCCAATTCATATAGCATGAAAATTCATGATTTCCTAAAACCTAGAAAGTGCACACTGAACACAACTTGTCTTCAATAAATTAGAAATAAGGATGAATGAATGAGGATAAACAGATTTATGAATGCTTTCATGAAACAAGGAGTCATTTTTTATGGATTTTGTAGAATTGGTGAACAGAACTTGAGGCTGGTATAAAAATGGTCCACATTTGTGACCAATAAGACTGTAAAAATGTTGACTTGACACAGTTTTATGGAACAAAAATCGCCGATTAGAGTTGTCATCCAAGGAACAACGAAGACACTATTGTGCCAGTCGTCTATTTGACACCCTTCCACATTTAATGGAATCATCCACACACATGCTTTTTCTAGCAATATGATAATGTTAAGAATAGTTCATTTGCAACATCAGGGTGGTTTTTATGTTGAAAGCCAAATAATTTTCAGCTTTGGTTTCACAAATTCTGTTAAAAACGGCTTCAAACTGTCTGTTCAAGCAGTATAATTTCCAATATCTTAAATATGTCCAGAAATATAGAGTCAAAGTCTTTATTTCGCAAAAAATCTGCACAACTTTTTCAAATTCAGAAATTCACAAAATACTGTCCCATAATCTGTATAAAACACTGCAACAACTCTCTAAACTGCACCAAACAATATCAGCGTTTCTTCTAACTAAACAACTGTACATATCTTCAAAATACAAGCAAAGTGTTTGGGAAATTCACCAACCATTTTTGCTTCTTGTCATAAAATTACTTCACAAGTTGTAGAACTCCTTCAATAAATTCATTAACAAAAGTGTCATTCAGTACTTCTTTAATTTAAAGGAATTCTTTTTTAACGTTTAAGTTATGTCAATGGAATATCAAAAATAATTTCACAAGGAATCAAGTTGTTCCTGATATTCTGTATATAGACGCTGCCATCGAAGATTTGAGCCAATAATTGGAAGAATTTCTTTCAATAATTCATGTTTATCCAGTCCCTAAAATATAAAGGAAAACACCAATATATCGGTCAACTTAATTCATCAGAAATCAAAATCAAATGATATCCACAATTTTTCATCAAGATCTAGTAAGCACTGAAAACAAATATTAAAACATTGGCAAATGTTAAACCTATTAGAACCTTCAAAAGTTTTCTGTTTAAATAACTTAAATGCCCAAAGATATTGCCTTCAGCTTTGACTCTGTTCCTTTTATTAAGGATTAACTGGACCAAAATCCATATCATCTGTCAAAATGGATAGTTTCTTTAAAGCCTCACAAAACACTGAGAAAATCAAAACCAAAATTTTAAAAGCCAGTATAAAGAATAAATTGAATTACTACTTACCAATATATGCGCGTTCCATGAAGTTGATTTATTTTTAATAACAGGGCCGAGTAAATCATCACAGACTTCTCGTAACTTTACTTCAAATCCTACAATAGATACAGGTTGACAAATTAATGCGAAGGAATTATTGGAAATGGAGAGAGGTGATAAAAATAAATTCAAGCAAGACAATTGAGTTAATCAAAATTTTGTCCAAAGCATGGCAAAATCGAGAGCAAAAGTTGTATAGTAATGGACTCCTCCAAAGAGAAGCTATTTTTGAACCTGGATACAACAGTGAATGATGACAGGCATTACAGTGTGCAATGAGGGAAATTTTACTAGGAGAGTGGCATTAGCCTACTCTTTTTCCATTTCCAACTGTCAACACTCATAGCAAAATCACTGAGCCTCTGTTTATTGTCCCACCCTCTGAACTGCATCAATGACAAGGTGGAAACCAGATTAAAGAATTCTAGTGTAGGTAGTGTCTGTACCAAGGCCAGAATCGAACCCTCTGCCCTCCCTTAGCATTGAAAGACACCAAAAACTCTTAGACAAAACTCCTAGCTTAGCATCCTTAACCTCTGGTAAGTGAACACTTACCCACCACAAGTTAAGTTACTTACCCTCCTGTACAAGATATCGAACGTACGACAAAAACCAGAATTTATATTCATCTTGAGATTTCAAACCCAAGCAGACGGCAACCTGATTTTCAAGGTGGCTGACAGTAGCAGTCTGCTGGACAGATGTTGCTGAACTGGAGGTCCTGGATGCCAACATGCCTGCCCTGAAATCAAATCAGATTAAACATCTTTTAGGCATAGTCAACCTTAAATACTGTATCAAATTTCCATACTGATAATCTGAACATTGTATAACATTGTTGATATTTTACTAACCTATTGTGTGATTTTTGTAATGATATCAATGGTCCAATAATCTGACTAGATAGTTTACAGTACTGATAATCTGAACATTGTATAACACTGTTGATATTTTACTAACCTATTGTGTGATTTTTGTAATGATATCAATGGTCCAGTAATCTGACTAGATAGTTTACAGTACTGATAATCTGAACATTGTATAACACTGTTGATATTTTACTAACCTATTGTGTGATTTTTGTAATGATATCAATGGTCCAGTAATCTGACTAGATAGTTTACAGTACTGATAATCTGAACATTGTATAACATTGTTGATATTTTACTAACCTATTGTGTGATTTTGTAATGATATCAATGGTCCAGTAATCTGACTAGATAGTTTACAGTACTGATAATCTGAACATTGTATAACATTGTTGATATTTTCATGTATCAAAACCCTAAAATAGAAAAAATACATTATTAACATTATCAAATTTACATGGACAAAAACATTAACTTGTAAATAGAATGGATATATCTTGTGATAAGGGTTGAAAGTTGAAACTGGGTTGAACACAGAAGCACTGCCTGTGGCATCAGAATTGTTCTTGTCTGGAAGGAGATTATAATATCACGGTCATGTCTGTCTGTCTACAAACAGAAATACGATCATATGTAAATAAATATTCTTATCAATAATTGAATTTAAATGGGGTATAACTTCCTGCAGTGTGCGTTTAATATTTTTTCAGGATATCTTACTATTTTTTTAAATTACAAAAAGCTGAAGTTATTTGCACCAATGAATTACTTCCTAATTTTCAGCAGTTCTGTGTGCAATGAGGGATATTACAGGTAATATAACTAGCAAGGTATTTCCATCAAGTATATACATGTATAAAAGATATGAAACACACGTACCAAGATTTGAGATCAGTATGATATGAGTAAGATTTAGAATTAGATAAAGTAATAACAGGTAAACCTTCACTTGTTATTTTCACTGTATCAACTTCTATATTACCTAATAATATAAACAATAATAATAACACTAAGTTAGTCATACAGCTATATCAATTGAAGCTGTAGCAAGGGGGCGTGTTCAGCATTGTAAGAAATATATTTAAAGGGTTAATACCAAATAATCATGGATTGTGTGTCAAAGATCTTTTGATGTTAATCTTAATAATACAAATCACCTACCATTGATAATACTAGCGATATTTTCATTGTTTATAGTTGCCATTTTATTCTGCATATTCCTGTCGAAACAATTCAACAATATAAGTTTTGATAAATTAATATAATCTATCATAAAAAAAAAAACAATTCACTTTGGCATTCATTTCATAAATGATCCAAATGGCTATGGGGCTTGTTGATTTGTCTTCATGTGGAATGTGACGCATGGATTGCTATTAGGATATTCGATAGTTCAAACACAACTTGTATTCTAAAAATAAATAATTTTACTCACCAAACATGTAAGCTGCCTTTTTGAGTGATTGCCATGACGAAATATGATGAACAATGGAGATAGGAAATTTTAGAATTTAGAACCAGACTTGGAAATAATCTTCTTCCTCCAAAACTGAAGATTGATACAGAGCTATCTTCACAACTAACACACGCCACGCATCTAAAATATAAAAACATAATTTTAATCTGTCCTTTTATCAGCATCATATTAACTTCTTATCTTTCTGTTAGTCAATATTTGCTTGCTTAATTACATTTTTTAATCAACTCCGTAAACCTCAAGTTAAGTTGAAACTTTAAGAAAGTCACAATAGTCCTTAAAGCTTTAAGGGGATAAGATTGCAAACGTCTGTGGAAAATGACAGTTGCCCTTTGTTCCTTAAACATGTTGAGATCATCCCAAATTCTAACAAACAAAACATTTAGTAAACAATAACTAATTGGTACAAAGTTTCATCAAAATCAGTTGAAAAATAAGAGAGTAATAGCATATTCAAGATTTTGGGGCAAGGGCAATAACTCTGCTTCTAACGGACCGACGGACGGACAGGGGTGCCGACAATATACGTCCACATAGATAGATGTGCAGTAAAAGATAAGCCTACCTGGAAGCTGCCATGTTGTTTATTGGTGAAGTTAAAATTTGTTCCCATGATGTCTCGCTGTCTTTAACCAAGCGTAATTTATGTACCGTTACCAGACCACACTGGACATTATTCTCTACTTCTAGACTGATAGAGTTCTCTTCCCCTGCCTTACCACTTATCTACATACAAACAAAATAACTTTCAGAATCAGAGAAAAACATTTGTGAACATCTGAGGATGTTTAATCCACAAACAAGAGGAGTTTGCTTTTATTGAAATGAAATGGGATTTTTTTTTGTACCGTCTTTTCTGCACCTTATTGGACCAATAGACTAAGGCCAAGAAGTGAGCAATGATGCAAGTTTTACAATGAGGTTGTTCTGTCTGTCTGTATCACTGACTGACTCACTTTAAGAAATGATATTTAAAACTTTAACCAGTAAAACTGACCTGTAATGTTGATGTTTTCTCTATAGTTTGTACTGGTAGACTTAATTCATTCGATGGTGGTGAGAAGGTACGGAATGATGGTCCAGCAATAGAAGCCTACAAATAATTAAAAGATTAGATTACTGGAACGGAATGAATATGATCAGCCATATTTCAACAACATAGGAATGAAAATGAAGCCGGAATTACTGGCAATGTAATGCAGTGTGCAATGAGGGAATTTTGCCAGGACAGCGTCATTATCTTACTCCTTTTCCACTTAAAATCCATCTTCCATGAAGATATTAGAAAATACAGCCATCTGGTTAGAAAAAACTTAATTTAAAATCAATTTTTGTGATTGACCAATCATGACCCTGAGGCCCCCTGTCTAAAATCCCAACTTACTGAGAGAGACGTCACTTGTTTGTCGGAATCTTTTCGGTCTTTCTTTGATCGTCCAGCCTTACTTAATTTGTCATCTCCTTTCTTTCGTTTTAACGAGAGACCAACTGGTTTATCTTTTAGCTTCTCCTTATCCACACGTCTGAAGAGAAAATTCAAATTTTTAATTTTGACAGAAATGGTGCAAAAATGAAATTTTACTACTTTAATACAAGTCTTGTTTTGATGAGACGAAGAACACAGTATCTTTTTGTTCAAAAGGAGTTATTTTTCGCTAAAACAATAGTAGAAATGCATCTCCATTTATCTTCCTGCAACTATGTAAGCTTTTAGCTTATAGAAGACAATGCCATAACCTAATCTATACCAGGGCTTATGTATAAGCAACATGCATCTTCTTGCGTCACTAAAGTTATGAATACTAGTACAACTATCAAAATTGTAATTTTTCTTCACTTACTTTTCAACTGGTGTACTAGTGGTTACTTTTGGTTTTTCTGATTTTTCTGGAGTTTTCTCTAAAGCTGTCATTGGCTGAAAAAAGAAATAAAGAAGAGAAATAAAATCTTCCTGTCATTGGCAGCAAACATAATATCACCATAACAACAAAATCAACAAGAATCCTGTCTGCCAGAATAAGACCTGTCATATCAATAGGTTGTAAATGGTAAGACAATACCAATTTTAAAAATGCTGACAACAGAAGGCCAGACATGCACCTAACATGACAGATCTTTTAAAACCTTTCAACACTAATGAGTGGTCTACTGGCCACACATTATGTGATCTATACACAAGCAGTCGGTGAAGCAAGTTATGTCACTTAACATCTTTATATCATACATATTTCTTAAAGTTCAGGGTATATGATGCTATAGTTTATTTACACTCCGTGTTCAAAGGGTTAAAGCAAAAAATGACAACCCTAACATACCTGAAACACTGCAGCTTCTGATTTCTTATCCCCTGAGGCCTTTTTATCTAAAAGAGGACTGGGTTTAGGTTCCGAGAGGTTTGATCCAGTTTGTGGTGATGTCGTAGACTTCGATGAAGGTGAGACCAAACCAGGAACAGTAACTCTATCTAGTTTTTCCACCTGAATTTTACTCGGATCTTTACTGGTAGCGAAGGAGATGTTGGAATCCGTTGTTATTACGTTACCAGGGAACGGTAACGGTGCTTCTCTGAAATTAGACCAAAAAGATTAAATTTGAGCAAAAACTGATAAGCGGAGAGCCATGCAATGTCATGCAGTGTGCAATGAGTAACATTTTGCCAAGACAGTGACATAAAAACTTACTCTTTTTTGATTTTCCTACTGTCTCTGGATCTTTAACATGCAAAGTCTGTATGCCTTGAGACCTCCGTTTTATTGATCCATGTCCCAGAAAGTGACTCAATTAGAAGGTAATTTTAAGACGCGACCTACCCAAAGTCTGGTTGTGGAGCTAGGAATATCGGTGTTATTCTTCTTCTACCATCTGGGGTCCTGGTCTCTATCTGTTTATCTAATGGCTACAAAAAAAAAAATAACATTAAATTTTGTTTCTAAATTGTACATGGTGGACTGGCTGTAATATTCTCAGGCCAAAATAATTTTTGAATCTTCATGTCTTCATTGCTTTTATGTCATAAATAATCAAGATTCACTTTTATTGGACTGTGGGCTGAGAATTTTTTCACTAAATCATGAGTATAGTTCCAAAGTTATCAGATGTCAGAGTCTAAAACAATTACAAAATTTCTGAAACAAAGGTCTTTGTGTTCGAGGGCCAACTAAATTTGAAAAAGATTTGTAACCAAACATCTCAAAGATTTATACATGAATTTTACCTTAAAAGGAACATCTCCATTAGCTAGTGGGTGTTTTTGAGGAGTTTTCGGTGTCTGGGGTGAAACCGTCTGAGAATTCTGTTGTTTTTCCTGAGATTCTTTCTGGGCCTGCTGCTGTAAATTCAACATGGCCGCCGATTCTATAATCTGGTTGCCAGTTGTCATGGAGCGTAATGGTAATCCTTTACCATAGATCTTCTCTAATACTGTTTGCTACAAAATCATAATAACATTCACTTGAGTAGGGCTCATCTGATGATGCTGACATATATTTCAGATACACAAACCTTGAGAATATCATGAGAAATTCAGTGCACTATCTTATATATCTGTATTGCATCTGGCTTCAGTCTGCGTGTTTTAATTTCTTCCGAAGTTTGAGTGGGTCATTTTCAAATCTCATATCTTGATCAGGTTTATAATCATGGCATGCCTTGGAGATCTGATAACTGAACTGAATTTCTGATTCTTGGGAATAATTTGGTACCTTGCACTGACAGTCTTTGAATTTTAAACCCAGTGATGCAGGAGGGGTTACATGAAAAATGTGTTGTCAATCAAAAGCCAATAAACCAGGGCATCATGTGCCACAGACTGTGCATGTTCAAGACCTTTATATCTTGGGACCAGAGTTGTAAGCAGTAAAAATAAAATGTAAGTTTACCACTTCTTGCTGTGTAAGTGATGTACCAATCTCTTCAACAGAGAAATCTATATAGGCTACTGTTCCATCTATAGAACAACACATCAACTCAAATCCACTCTTACTCCTATCAACATAATACATTCAAATATTTCAACAACAAAAAAAGACAAAATAATCATATTTTACAAGGCTAACAACTTGGGTTATTAGCAGGCACTTGCCCCAATCTTTGTATCTATTAATTATCTTTGAAAGTAAGTCTTTTGGAATTCGAGAAATAAACCTCATAAACTTGTCTCACCATGAAATATCCATGATAGAACTTTCAAATAAATCATGAGTTACTACCAGAGGTCTTTTTAACGCTGTTAGCTGAAAAATACAAACATTGTAATCAAAGGCTCATATCGCAGCATAACTTAAACTTCAACTGTGAAATAAGCTATCATAACGAGTGTTCTTGTCAAAACAAATTCCAGTGTTAAGGAAGAAGTCAGGCAAATGAATAACTGAGGTTTTCCGTACAAAAAAATTAGTCTCTACTATATACTTGTACTTCACTACTATCATAAATCATACATCATGACCGAGTGACGCTTTGTACTGTACTAGTCTTATGAATATTCATATATCAACAATGTTTTAAATTAAAAATGCTATGAAATTTTCTTGGTTTCAAAGAACTGTTTTGCTTATTAAGAACTAAATAAATACTTACCCATATAGAGATGGATCTATCTTTACTACCAATAGCACAACATGAGTACTGTTGTGACTGAAATAAAATCAAATGTAAAGAGTTTTTACATCCTACCTCAACTTCTAGAAGGATGAACATACCCTTAGTTTGATAAACTTTTCAGAGATACTTTAATCCAATTTCAATAAGTGAAATTTTACATCCTGCGATTATTTATTCACATATAGGTTCTACTTGGTAGCACTCGCTTGTTTAGTTCTGTCTGTTCCAATTCTGGCTACAATGGAACAATGTCCAAATCAGATTCTAGGAAATATCATTTTTAATCTTAATTTAAGCTGATTGTCTTACCTTATCACTGTCCTTTTTAATTCTTTTTTCAAATATATTAGGATTAAAACGCTGAAAAATAAAAATAAGGTTGAATCAAATATTTTCAATTATATGTTGTGAACATGCAATTTAATTCAAATTTCTTTTCTTTTCCACTTTCTAATATTTTCATCTACATTGTAATCTAACAAGTTTTCTACCAAAGGCCCTAATGGCGTTGTTTTTAACCAATCAAAGCTTGTCATGTAGTACCTTCTTCTTGATAACAATGATGAATTGTGGGATAGCGAGAGCCAAAGAAGAGTAATATGACAGCCTCTTTTTGGTTAGAATAAGATTGAGTCGCATGCTGAAGATAAAATTATTATGGTTCTGTCAAAGTATCTTTGTATCAGTTTGACAAACAGACATGATGAGTTGATCTTAAAATAACAACAACAGAATTTCTGGAGAATGAAATGGAGTTTTAAATCTTATTTATCGCTCCAATAAAGACAAAAGAAATTGGAAATGAAAATCTTTGCCTATGTAAGACATCAGTATTTATCACGTAAACTCATTTCTCTTAGAGGTAAGGAAAAACTATAAAAAAATAACATAACCTACTACAACAGTAATGGCCTTCCTATGTCCAACAAAATCCAGGGTGACCTTCCACCCCTCCCGTTCTATAATCTGAGCGGTTGGTCCTGAGTTGTTCATGGCGTGGGCGGAGACTATATAATGACCGTCAGGTGACCAATCTAACCGTAATACATGAGTTGTTCCTCCACACTGTGAGAAAAAAAAAACCAAGGTTAAAAAACACAAAAATATATCAAAACAGAGGTTGTAAATACTCAAAAAGAACATGTTTCAGGTTCTGTTTTAATATTTTCAATAATATATATTTCACTGAAAACTATTTTAACATTGAAAATATTTTGTTAAGATTAAAGAAAATATGTATAGATCACAAGATCAATCAAGAATGATGAATCTCAAACAGCAAAACGTCTACTGTGAAAGTTCTGCCGGCATTTCGCAACATATCTTTAGATCATTCTAACCTTTTTTACTGGTTTATACCCAGATTTCAGGTGATCATGTGGATTTTGTAGTTCAACGGTTTGTAAACAAAGAAAAATAAAACAAAAACTTTCTGAGATATGGATTCAGGAAGATGCAAAAAATTATTACCCAATCATTACCTTACCCATAATCACACAGCAATGTTATAATCATGTCACAAATCAGTGAAAAACAGTAAGGAAGCTGATCCCAGAAAACACAAAGAATCATTCCATTGCTTCCAACTTACAATTCTCCTTTACTAAACCTATCACGAGTTGCTGTATTCGTCCACAGCTGAGTTGAAGAATAATGACAACTATTATCTATCAGTAAGTGACCTACCTCTCTAAATGGTTCTCTAATAATAGATTCTGTCTGCCAGTCTCTCGTTCTCCATACTCGTAATGTTTTATCATCAGACTACAATATACAATACTAATTTATCACTCATATAAATACAAAGAAGGAAATATGATAATACTTATATCAAGACTGAAATCAGCCGTTCATGATACTTAACAGCTTTTTATTTGAAAAGATCAATATTTTTAATAGATAAACTTGACTATTTCCATATTTTTCTACTAGTACGTCCTTATTCTCCTATCTCAAATTTGACAAAGCATAAAAAAATAGAAATTTTTGTGCTCATTGAAATAAGAATTCCAAGCTCATATCTCATATAAAGTAATCATTATGTGACGTAAGTTATTGTAATACCAAGCAGTGATTAATGGCTTTATACTTCATTAGACTAGAGTTGTCATTAAATTTTGCATTTGACTGACATTGAAAGCCATGTAATGGTTAACCTATACTTGATGTTCGACAGAGGATATTGAACGTCGGTCATTTCAGCAGCCCTGTCGGTCATGTCCGGCATATAGAACCAAATCATCACTCTAGAATTGTGCCATTAGAATATATGATCCAAGTAAATTGAAAGAGAAATTACCTGTGATGCGAGATATTTTCCTACAGGATCCCACGTAACTCCTTTAACTAACCCAGAATGCCCCTTTAATACTGCTACTTGTTCTAAATATAGACACAAACGAGGATCTAAAATATATTTTTGCTCATCTGGTTCCAATTTCAAACATACCTGCGAATCAGATCAGATCACTGTGTTTTAAGAACATGAAATGAAATGCCTAGTGCAACGCATTCTAGTTAAAAAATAAAACAAAATATAAGTCAAAACCAGCATGCATTCTCTGAAAACTCAAAGAGAACCATCTTAAAAAGATAAAACCTCTTTGAATGCTCATAAAAACTTCTCAAATTTGGCCAATACAAGTTTATATTCATCAGTTGAATGTCTTGGTGTCATAACTATAAGCTTACAACAGAATCCGTGTATAAAACAGACCCAATTTATTATGTCAAATGTAAACATACCTGGAAATTTATTGGTGTTCCAGATGACTACCGTATTATCTACACTACAGGAGGCTAACCAGGCATCATGGGGTGACCATGATAAATCTAATACATCTAAAATATAATCATAGTTCATAGAACGAACAGAATTTTTCAAAACAGAAATCAAATCTTAAGAGTACACACTGTATGATCTTCATAAAACATGTAATTAAGCAGGTTTGACAGTTGTGGCATCAGAAAGGGTATGCTTATTCCTTCTAGACATCTGATACCACTTTTCATTATGAGATACTTACTCACTTATGATTGATATTGAGAATGAATCCTTACACTTCAGGTCGCAGCAAACCCCTTAATTTTTGGAACTAACAAGGTTCCCCTAATGAGAGGCCAAGCTTTATGGGCCATCTATCTCCTAGTTTAAAAAAGTAAAAATTACCTCCAGAATGACCTCTGAGAGTAAACACTGGCCTCCATTGTTCTATATTCACTACTTTATTACTAGAACCAAACGTTGATGAAGGTCCGGAATATCTGTAATAATAGACACATCCTTAATACATACATTATGGGATACAATATTTACTGTGGCAGTGTTGATAGCAAGATGACATGCTGGTCGTTCATGAAGCCGGCTTGTCAATCACGCACCCGTGTCAGAGAGTACACATAGCTAATGCAGCTCACACTTATTCTTATCAAGTTGCTGTACAGTTTTCATAATATCAAAAGATTCAAAAAAATAAAAAATATGACAAGTGATGCTCCAAACTGGTCGTCGTGATGAGAATATCATATCCAAACAGGGCTATAGCTAGCCCAAACATCCACATGATAAGAAGGGAAAGCCTTACCTGCTAGTCTGCCAAATCATGACAAGTTTATCATCCCCACCAGACGCCAGAAATTTACCATTGTATGACCATCTTACACAATTTACACACGCTGAAATATTTCATATAAATCAGATATAATCATACTGTTATTTCTTTGAAGATGCTAAATCTTTGTGTTAATGTTGATGCATAAAAACTATTCACCATAGAAGATCACTATATCAAGTTTTGTGTGCCTTGTCATTTATTTGACATCCCTAAAAGTTTAATGGACTCTTCAACACATATTCTTTTCCTAGGAGTTTGATATAGTGTTCATTTACATAATAAGGGTGGTTTCTGTTGCCAGTCAACTATTTTCAGTGGTCAAATCAGGATGATAATGTGTAAAAGATAACTTACCTAGGTGGTTGTCCATTTGACACAGAACTTTTGGAACACTTTCATTTTTCTCAGCCTTCTCATCTCGTACTGGAGCCATGTTCCATATAACAACCTTCCCACAATCATCTCCTAATAACAGACAAAATTAGCTTGTATAGCACAATCGTTCAGTTTACAGCACATGGGTGGAAGACTTGATGGTACTTCTCTTTGGAGGAGTCCACTACTATATAACTTTTTCTCTCCAGAATTTGCCATGCTTTGGGTGAGATTTTGAATAATGGAATTGTCTATTCGTTTGTACAGATTTTTATTTATAGCACATGGGTGGACAATAGTTTTGATGATAAGGGAGGGAGCGGGAAGGGGGGGTTATTGCTCCACGGTGGAATAATCCAAGGCATTGGACATTTTACTTATCAAGTATGGATTCCAATTTGGCAGCAAGTCAACCAAACAATAATCCAACTAGAAACTGACTGACTGAGACATTTGAAAGAGACTCAATTGCTGCTGAGACTTGTCCAGATCATATAGATATTTGTAGCAGAACCCCCATTTAGATGATTGGGGTTTATAATTCAAACAATGTAATAAACAAATTCAGCTGAGAGCCTCATTAACAACATAAAATGATGACAGTACAAACCTTGGCCTCCAGTGGCAAATCTTGAGCCATCAGGGTGGATATCAATGGAAAATATTGGCTGGCCTGTAGGAAAGATGATAAAATAGTTACAAAAGGGCAAAAATTATTGAACATTCTTATTTTTTTGATTTTTACAATTAGTTTTTGATTCATAAAAATGTTCAGTAGAATATTGCAATAAAATTAGCAAATAATTATTTCTAGCTACGTGAAATCTAATCTATGAATTGGATTCATGTTGATAATTGATAAGATTATAGCAGAAGAAGGTGTTCTGGATGTTGAGCATGCCCTAGAATACATTCCTTGCTAGTTTCCTGAATATAAGACTTTTCAACTTTCATATGATGACGCTTAACCACAGAAGGGAAAGAATAATGTAATATGTACTGGAAAATTGTCAAATAGCCAGGTATCATTACAAGCATCACGCCTAACAAAGAAATTTAGCATGGCATTGTTTATTGTCACACCTGCTGTCACACTGAGCAGACATGTTTTTTTTTTTGTCAAAATCAAATCAAGTTATTCTCGATTTGCTTAGCCAAAAATGAACAAATTGACTGCATTTTTTGCTTTTAACGGGAACAGGGAATTGTGTATGGTAGTGACAAATGTTAAGTCAAATAGTGATACCCGCCCCCTTTTCAAGCCTCTACAAGAACATGCAGCCGCATTGCACATTGCAGAGACTGGTTTGTTTTGTTTTTTTGTCTACGAATATTAAATTGCTGAGCAGAAATTGGAATGCAAAACAGTTACCATCATGTTCCACCCAGCTTGGCTTTAACAGTCGCATCTTTCTGGCTCACTGCCTGTTGTCAGGCATTTCAATTTCTAAACAGAATCCCTATTATTATTACATAATTTTATGAAAGCTTTCTCATCCCGCCATGTTTAAAGTTTACATTATAAATCGCGCAGAGTATCGCGAGAAGAGAGAGTTCATCTTAAGGTCAAGGTTGGGTCATGGCGATTTTACAAAAATGTCACCGTGACCTTAAGACGTTTAGATTAAAGGGTGATTATCTCCTTATTTTCTTCCATTTAAAGGGGGACTGACCACTAACTCTAGGGCATGATTAAGACTTGGCGTCAGTGGCGCATCTAGGAAACATAAGGTGAGGGGGATGAGCAGGGGCCATAAAATTACCACACAGGCAATTCTTTCACTATGTAAAATGATAAATTATTTAAAAGTGTGTGTAGGGGGGCGGTCTTGCCTCTTTTTTTGGGCTCCCGTAGGAAAACGCCACATTTTGCGTAAGCCTTTACTGGTATTGATTGCGCAAGGATTAGCCCTAACCAGCCATTAAGCATGTATTATAGCCTATAGTAATATTATACGTACTAACTAGGCTACTAGTTTGGGCCGTCCGCTTATAAATAGACCATAGGAAAAGAGAATTACAGCAACTGTGAGGAAAAGACTGGAAGAATAATTTTGTATGTGGGTATTGCAAAATGATGTTTAAAGACAATTAAGGTTTCCTTAAGGTGTCATTTCATATGATGCAAACTTTAAGCAGGAACAATAAATTACATAAAAACCTCATTAGGAATCCATTTGAAATTTGATTTTTATACGTTTTATATAAATAAAATATATTTGTAATATAAAATTCTACATAACAGACTATATCAATATGATCCATAAATGCATTTCAGTAATAAGAAGTCTCAAATACATGCAATATCATAACATAACACAGAATGTGTTACAGGACTCAACTCGGATTTCCATGAATAAGTCACTATATAGGGCCTATTAGATCCGATGTAATAGGCCTACATGGTATATCTCTCAGGGAATGTCCAAAATATAAGTCCTATATACGTAATGTTTTCTTCATGCCTGAATAATTCTGGCCAGTGACCACAAGAGGGCCAAAGGAGGGAGGGGCATGTCTCTCCAAAAATATGGAATGCTAGAGGCAAAAATACTGACGGCCGTCCGATTTTATCATTGCCCTCCGGATATTTTACTTGATATGATTATGATATCTGATGGACAGGAGTAAGAGAACACTGAACGCTGGTGTCTTTTTTACCCGACTTCCGCCGCTTCACATCCCGTTTCAGGGCAGTCGTTGACAGAGACAGGGCCATGCGAATCTGCGACAGCCAGGGTTTTTCTTTAAAACTGTTTGCGATCACCAAAGATTGGATTGCTCGTTCCCTCTGTGAACCGCCTTTATATTTGGTTAAAAGTTCTATTGTCGGCTCAATTACGTCATCCTCGCGGAGTCCATTGAGGTAGAAGAACGGTCGTGACGTCTGCTCGTTGCTGATCAACGGAAGAGGGATCGGAGCATCACTGGCATGAGACTTAGCAGCCATCTTGGATTTCTTTCCTCGCTGATATCTGCTGCGTTTAGGTTCGTCTGTGACATCGTCAGATTCTGGTTGTTCCGGTTCCTCAGCGATACTCGAACCAAGTGAGGTGTGGTTGGTTTTGCCGCCCTTTTCGCTTCTTTCCGTGGATGGGATACTGAGACTTGGCACGGAGGCAGCTACGTTGCTTTCTGGGGGAATCATGTTAACATTGGGTAAAGACTGAGTCATTGGTTTGGATTGTTTTAGACTCTTGAAGTACGCCTGTTTGTTGTTTTTCGACAATCTTTTAAAACCACCCTTTCCAAGCTTCACGGAGCCTTTTGGCGAGATATTCAACGCTGGCTGAGATTGACTGACAATCCTGTTTTTCTCTCGAATGGGGGGAAGTTTTGTCCCACGATCTCGTTCAGGACTTAAACTTTCTGAATCTTTTTTGGACATATCTGGCGTTGAAGAATTGGACGAGCGACTGGGAGTACCACGATTTTCCGCTCTTGATCTGTTTTCTTTCCATGCTTGTTTAGTACCACTTCCTGGAAACGGATTCTTGGGGACGTCTGTTTTAAAGTTGAAGAGCAACTTCCGGTCTGTAACCAGCGATCTGTCAGTCGGCCTATCGGTTACGGCTACGGTTTTAAAATACTGTTCTGCATCCTCTGCGTTTTCGTCTAATATCAGGGCCAGATTTTGTTTCGCTTTACGCTTCTCCCTTTCTTCGCGGGAAACTTGAGATTTTGGTTTTCCGTTCATGGCACTTTTTGAAAATCCGTCCACGAGAACGCCATGACTGACCAATGGTCCAAAGTCAAAGTTTCGCTTCTTCAGTGAGGATTTGGTTACTCCGTATTTCATGTAGGCTTTTTCTCGACCGAGTTCGCACCACTTCTTTAAGGCTGAGTAGAGCTTGATGCTGATGTAAACAGTTTTAGTGAAATTCACTTTAGTCCATTGTTTAGAGAGAAGATATTGAGCACAGTTATGGACTTTCTGTCTCAGCGCGATGTTCATGGGCAACAACCCGTTTCCGTCTGCCGCCATTAAATGGGTGATGTCGGTATTCACGAACAGTCTTAGCACTCCTAACTGTCCCATTTCAGTTGCTACATGGATTGGAGCCTTTAAACTGTCGATATGAGATAGACCTTTACACCATTGGCGTTGTGGGGGATCGCCCACGGGTTCGTCAGCCCGACCCCCCATTTTTAGCAAAGATCGAGCGAGATCGACGTTACCGAAATGCGAAGCTATATGAAGAGCTACTCGGAGTAAATATCTCCCATGAAGATCGTCCGTGTTGATCTGTTCAATGACCTGCTTCGTGAATCCACGACTTGCCAGGTTGAAAAACTCGTTTAATCCATCCCAGTTTTCCAAACGTAAAGTCCTTCCAGCCTCTATGCTATATATGTCTAGAGTATGACAATCGAACAGTTCTCGTCCGGTATCCGTACACAACCGGAACACTCCGACAGGCAGACCAGTGCGTTTCGACACCATAGATTTCAAATCTTTAACGGACATTGATCCAATATTCAGATCATCAAAAATTGTCAAAGTTTCGTTGTTGTGAGAACATTTTATATAGAGCACTGGATTGTCTTCTTCTTTGAGCTGTATTCGAATGGTCGTTCCAGGCACGATTCCGAGATCACTGAGAACCCACATATCTTGAAGTTCAGCACGAGCGTAGGTTAAACTTATCACGGTTTTGTCGAATTTACACAAATCGTCGGAAATATTGAGTTTTTCTTGAATCACCTTTTTAAAATCCTTAACTCTCATTCCTGGCGAGACCTCGAGGGTTACTCGCTCATTCTCAAATATTCCGAACAGCAACATTTTGGAGTTTATTTCTTGCTTTGTTGGAGACATGGACTGTTTACTGTGCTTTACATGGTTGTCAAATCTGAAAAGACAAAAAAGACATGATTTAGAAGAAAGTTATAAAATAATTGAAAGAATAAAGATTAATATAACTTTTTGACAGTGAAACCCTTCCATATTAATTGAGAATCAATTTCATTGGTTCAACAACTCACAGTAAGCCAATGGAATGCTTGGCAATGTAATTTGCATATTTATATGAGGGACATTTAAGTGAAAAGGTGAACATGTCTTACTACTATTGTTAATCATGTTGAACCAGTGAAATAAGAAAAAGTTTCCGCATTTTTTTCTCTGCCTAATTGAGCTATTGAAGACGGGAGTAGGTCCTGACCATAATTTTTAAAGATTTTCCACGTGTGTGCTCAGTTTCAGTTGATACAATCTCAGGTTTTATCTGATTGGCAGAAAAACAAGACATAAAACGCCTTTCCATTTCAGCTGACTGGCTCAAAGAACAAATTAGTCTATATCAGCTCCAAAAAAAATCAGCTACATGGAGATTTCGCCCGAGTTCAATTGGTCGTGACCGAGTGACCTACCAAATAGCCAATCAGAAGAGGTCGTAACATGTCAAAAAGCAAATCAGAAGGAGTTATACCTACTGGTATTTAATTATAAAGAGGAGTCGATTGAATAATGGTTTTTTACAATGGCTGTTAATTAGGCGATATACTAATGATATAATTCACCTATAAATAACTTTACAAATTATATAATGACATGAATTAGATCGTGACTGGACGAATTCCCCCCCCCCCCCCCCCTCAACAATTCTATGGAGGTAAAAAAAAAGTAAGCTAGTACCGCTGCCATTGCAAACTACATGGCGTTGCCCTTATACAGATACCTCTGGAATATAAGAAAAGTCATCTTCACAATGTCAAGGTATTACGAACTGCATGACTGCAATAGTCATCTTTCTTGTATCACGGAATATAGCGATACATTGGATTGTATGCCAGCGAATACAGAAAGACTATAAACATTATGGCTTATTGTTTACAAACTTTCTGTCGAGAGCTCTGATTGGCTATATTCTCTGGTATACAATCCAATCAAATCGCTGCATTCCGTGTATCAAGAAAGGTGGCGTATAAAACGCAGTTCTTAATACTAATAGCTTGACATTGTGAAGATGCAGAAAAGTATGACGTAAAACTCTATTTATCTTCTGGTGCAAAGAGGCGGTGTATTTTATTGGTAAGGGTTGTCTATAAATTAATCTACAGATAGGTCGTACAAGCCTTATACACCATTGTCATAATACATTCTTGAAGTTTAGCCAACAAGCTAACGACAAATTAATAGGGTGAAGTAGGGGGTATTTTATTCTATTAGGGGTTATTCAACTATTATTTATATTATCTAGACTTAAATAAAAGGTCGTCAGTCGACATAATGAGAATAAAGCCGGTTTGTGGGTGTTTGATATATAAATTGTTAACAGGTTTTTGTATAAAATTAAACACAGATAACATGAGACTATCTTGTCCAACTAGCTCACAAAATACACTTGCTACAAAGACATAGGCCTACCATGACAGTTTTCTGTGGTAAGAATGAGACTAGATCATACCATCTATCATGTCTAACTAGCTTACAGATTGCTTAGTACAATGACAGTTTTCTGTGTCCATCTAGCATGCATATCGCTTGGTACAATGGAAGTTTTCTGAGTCCAACTGGCTAACAGATTGTGCTTGGTACAATGACAGTTTTCAGAGTCCAACTGGCTAACAGATTGTGTTTGGTACAATGACAGTTTTCTGTGTCCATCTAGCATGCATATCGCTTGGTACAATGACAGTTTTCTGTGTCTAACTAGCTAGGAGATTGCTTGGTACAGTAATAGTTTTCTGTGTCTAACTAGTTAGTAGATTGCTTGGCACAATGACAGTTTTCTGTGTCCATCTAACATGCATATCGCTTGGTACAATGGCAGTTTTCAGAGTCCATCTGGCTAACAGATTATTTGGTACAATGACAATTTTCTGTGTCTAGCTAGCATGTAGATTGTTTGGTAAAATGATAGTTGTCTGTGTCTAACTAGCTAGTAGAATGCTTGGTAGAGTGACAGTTTTCTGTGTCTAGCTAGCTAAGAGATTGCTTGGTACAGTAATAGTTTTCTGTGTCTAACTAGTTAGTAGATTGCTTGGTACAGTAATAGTTTTCTGTGTCTAGCTAGCTAGTAGATTGCTTGGTACAGTAATAGTTTTCTGTGTCTAGCTAGCTAGTAGATTGCTTGGTACAGTAATAGTTTTCTGTATCTAACTAGCTAGTAGAATGCTTGGTACAGTGACAGTTTTCTGTGTCTAGCTAGCTATTAGATTGCTTGGTACAATGATAGTTTTCTGTGTCTAACTAGCTAGTAGATTGCTTGGCATACCATAGGGTCTACTATTGTGTCCGACTCATAATATGTGAAACTGAAATAGCCTAATCTCCGTAAAAAAAAAAAACAATTTTTTAAACATCTTCACCTTGAATGATATCTATCCTATAGGGTTGTTCGACAATCCACTTGAAAACTAGTCTATAAGTTCTAAAAACAAATACGATATATTTCAATAACTGTACTGTACACTGTTCATAAAACAATATCTTACATGTTAACACTCCCTTCCTTTTCTACGAACTCTAATTTAATATAGCAGGTTTAGACCCTAGAAGATTATCAATAATATGTGAATAGAGTCGACTGTACTTGAAATATTAATAAAACGTAGCGGATTAACACCAGGTGAGCCCGGATTAGCGTTAATCCAGACTTAATTAGTTAATTTCCCGTTTGACATGGAATCTGATCAAATTATTGGATTTTGAATGATATATCAAGTAGGGAATAAGTAGGCTATAGAAATATTCATATGATATTACAAGGGAGTGAAATTCCAGAGAGAGGGAGGGGGGGGGGGGGGGTGAACTATTTACAAACGGTTCACTATATATGAACTAAATGTATGCGATTTAGCACAAACGGTCTACCATGAAAATTCCGCTAGCGCTCTGTAACATTCGGCTTCACGGAAACTCTCGAGGGTTGCCGAATATATTCAGTCTTTAAGAAATTGCTAGAAGTTGCCGACATCAAAAATGGGTCGACTGGTCAGGTTTACTTCTAAAAAAGGCCAGAAAGATATGAAATATTCATTCTTTTTTTAGGAAAAATTAAGGTGCTTGCCCAGTATTTCAAAACAAATAAACATACAAAGAGCATATTATGATCTTCGATACACATAAAAAGTTTAAAAAAAACTATTTACAATCTCTTTAAATAAATAACTTGTGTTTTAAATTATGTGGATATTGACGTAAATCCAACTGACTGTTGATCTCTGCAATCTTAACAACACGGTATGGTTGGTTTGCCCCACTTTTAATCATTCATAATTCTACCAGCTGCTTAGTTACAAAACATCAGAGAGTTGTGAGGCTAGACTTGATTATAACTACCTGACCAAAAATATAGCTTTTGTTGGCATTCATTGAAAAATAGTTGTAGGCCTAGTAAAATGCAGATCCACATGAATCTGTTCCTATTTTTTTCTTTGGGTTGCTTCAACCGCCATCCGAAATCTAATGGCCTTTTTTTCTTAAAATCGAGTTCACAAGCGTGCTAACCAATATAATCTTTAAAAGAGATTTTACTACAGCATAATATAGAGTAATATGGTCATATCACCCACCGTTAAAAGTACTACGGCCGATATCCACTGGAGAGATACTTGATATTATTCAATATTAGCCTGAATCTCGAATTACATAGAACCCTTATCATTTTATTAGTCGTCTTACGTTTGTTTTAGCAACGGGCATTTAATCTAAACATTTTTTTGTTTTCTTCAGAGTCGAGCGACATATTTTCGTTGTTAAAGGGTCCAGATAAGGAAGTTTCAAATTAAACCTGTTTGAATTTCAATTTTTATTTCATTAGTCCAATATGACATAGAACAGTAGGATATAATACTACATTTCATTTCATTAGTCTAATAAGATACAGAACAGTAGGATATAAAACTCTATTTCATGTCATTAGTTCAATAAGATACAGAACAGTAGGATATAAAACTCTATTTCATTTCATTAGTCCAATAAGATACAGAACAGTAGAATATATAACTACATTTCAATTCATTAGTCCAATAAGATACATAACGGTAGGATATAAAACTCTATTTCATTTCATTCGTCCAATAAGATACAGAACAGTAGAATATATAACTACATTTCATTACATTAGTCCAATAAGATACAGAACAGTAGGATATAAAACTCTATTTCATGTCATTAGTTCAATAAGATACAGAACAGTAGGATATAAAACTCCATTTCATTTCATTAGTCCAATAAGATACAGAACAATAGAATATATAACTACATTTCATTTCATTAGTCCAATAAGGTACAGAACAGTAGGATATAAAACTCTATTTCATGTCATTAGTCCAATAAGATACAGAACAGTAGGATATAAAACTCGATTTGATTTCATTAGTCGAATAAGATACAGAACAGTAGGATATAAAACTCTATTTCATGTCATTAGTCCAATAAGATATAGAGCAGTAGGATATAAAACTCTATTTCATGTCATTAGTTCAATAAGATACAGAACAGTAGAATATATAACTACATTTCATTTCATTAGTCCAATAAGGTACAGAACAGTAGGATATAAAACTCTATTTCATTTCATTAGTCCAATAAGATACAGAACAGTAGGATATAAAACTCCATTTCATTTCATTAGTCCAATAAGATACAGAACAGTAGAATATATAACTACATTTCATTTCATTAGTCCAATAAGGTACAGAACAGTAGGGTATAAAACTCTATTTCATGTCATTAGTCCAATAAGATACAGAACAGTAGGATATAAAACTCTATTTCATGTCATTAGTCCAATAAGATACAGAACAGTAGAATATATAACTACATTTCATTTCATT